ATTGGCCTTCGGTGTTTCCAACATTTTTTTCAATTGACAAGGAAAAACTGGGAATATAGGAAAAGGTGGGAACTGTTGCAGTGATGCCATGGAAAGAACGGAGGATACAAGGAAGCCAGCCTGTACTACATATGAAGCAACCTATGATGCAACTTCTTCACATTAAGTTTGTTATCAAATGAAATCAAGAACAAAACCAATGTGGGAAAAGCTACACTAGGTAGAATTGTTTTTCATTAAAATCTTCTTAAAAGGCAGTATCATTCCTTGATACAGTGACTGGCAAGCCTTTATATGTTTCAATAAGCAGTGCAGAACTTCAAAAAAAGGAAAAAATATATTTAGTGAAGATATTATGAGCACTAGTGAAAGTGAAAACAGAAAAAATAAAAACATTTAAAAAGGACCATTATGAATGACAGCAGCATAAGTTTACACTACACCCTGCGAACCAGGTCTGTGACATTTTAAATGGAACCTGTGGCATTTAAAGAGTAATCACTAGGTCTCAGTTATTAAGGCAGATATACAAAAGAGAATATTTCTTAGTGATACACCAGTCAGTAGAGTATTTTCTATAGGCACTGTATAAAAATATCTCCATAAACTGATGTAGTAGAAAATCTCTATTAAACATTCAGATTATACATTTACACAGGCAACAAAATATTAAGAGATTGTAAACTTATACTAGAGATGAGAATTATGTTACCATTTATTCCCTCATCATCAAGTTTTACCAAAACGTGAGAATTATGTTACCATTTATTCCCTCATTTTACCAAAATATTTGAACAGATTAATATTCCCTTACATTTTCACTAAGAAAAATGTTTCCACAGTTCCTGTCTAGAGTTATGGATAATAATCCATTGCAAATTACACACCAGACTCTGTAGCAATTTTATATGAATGAATGAGTGAAATAAACCCTGAGGGCTGAATTACATTCTTTTAACTTAAGGACTCTTAAAGGTAATAATATGGGATACTTCTACCCTTAGATGAAAAAGATGGGAGTCTCAAAAATGTGATACTTTTCATCCAAGTTGTTGATAGACTCATCACTCCCTACAGTCAATTTCACTGTAAATATTTCCATAATTTATTCACTAATTATTACTGGTGCTACTATATGTCCACTCTTCATTAAATAGCAAGAATTGGAATTTTAAACTTAGAAGCACTGAGAATTAAGGTATTTTTGTTGCTGTACAGATGTAGTGAGGAGTGAGGTCCTCTGTCATGCTGACTGAAATCTTAAAATTGTATATATGTGTATATATATATATATACATGTATTCAAATGCACAGAAACAATACAAACATGTTAAATATGTTCCACAGATTTCTGAAATGAGATAACATACATGATTAAGTAACAGACATAACAGGAGATGTAAAACTATTGGTAGAATTGCTAAGTTTTCACCAAGAAAGCGATACTTCCTCTGTCCACAAATTTAAAACTTTCATATTTTAAAGTCTTAAAAATACACATTGAAGATAGTCTTTGAAGGATGTAAGTTAGAGATGATAAAACTATTCCTATGCTCCCCTATGGACTTCAGTCTTTATTTGCATCAAAGTCAGGCAATTGCTATTCTTCAATTGTTTCTACAACAGTACTTGGGGAAAGAAAGTATAATCTCTAGACATTATTCAGGGTCACCATATAATCCTTACTCAATAAAACACTACATTGAAAAGGTAATATTTCAGCTGATCTACATGCACACTTTAATGTAACTGTCTGCTCCAAATCTACCAATACAGTAAAATTCAATTCACAAGTTCAAAATTTGAAAACAAACAGCAATGCAATATGGCCATATCTTAGCAGACAATTTAATAGTTGTATAAAAAAGCATTTAAAACATTTTTGGTTATTGGATATAGAATTTTTTTAAACCTGACTGGTGTCTATTCTGTCTAATTATAGAATAATTTCTATAATTAAACTGAAGGTTGATAAGGATCATGCCCGTGAAAAAAAATAAAAATTAAAAGCTCCTGTGTGATTCAGTCATAAGATAGAGAACAAATCTGGCATAGAATCTACTTTGATCTGCTTGGTAATACAAAACCACACCCAAATTGCATTCTCTGAAACAACTTTAGAAGAAAACGGAGACATCGCATGTGTGTGCTAATTGTGGTTATAGAAGATCATAGTGCTCAAGGGAATCAAAGGGAATGAGATCTAATAGATATTTTAATTTTGTTGACAAGAAAAGCATGCACTCAAAAAGACTGTAAGAGAGAAAATAAAGGTGAATGTTATTAGCTCTATTTAAGAGACATCACAGCTCTTCCTATGAAAAAGCACTCTGAAGGTAATATATTAGAGTACTGTTAAAAACTTGATCAAAGAGTTAGTGAAGTCAATTAGCATCAACTCATGCTGACTTTGGGCAATAGCACTTCGGATAATAATAAAACAAAAAATAAACTTCTTTCTCAAATGAAAGACTGTCAGTGGGTAGGAAGGTCCAGCACAGGCTGGTTTTTTGTCCATTGGTGCTTAGAATGGAGAATAATGTGCTTCCATGGAGAGCCAAGTGTGCAGTACAGCAAAAAGTTGTCTGTGAAGAATCAGCAGTTCTTTAAAATTTTAGATTCCTAGGAAACACAAAACTGTTTCATAAGAATTCTTCCATGAATATCAAACATTTTTAAGTATACTGGCACTCCCACTTTTAGCTTTAATTTTGGCAATTTGTTAAATATATTTTGAAAATATTTCCTTTTGACACCAAATATCTTGTGACAAACCTGTTTACATGTTACTTTCTTCTAATATAATTACCCCTCCTTTGTTATTCTTTGTTTGATTGCATTTCTAAGTAAAAATACGTCATCTCCATGATGCTTTAGAAAAGCCTAATTTCCAATTTTCTGAACAACTTCAGGAAATTTATTATTCACTACTACTTCTATTTCAGTACAAGCAGATTGGTAGATGTATTCTATTTAGACTTGCCCAATAGCCTATGCCATAAGTGCTTTTTTATGTGGATTTCCACAATGAATGCTGAGAGATATGCTGGAGGAGGTAAGAATCAGAAAAAATAAGATGCTTGACAGCAAATCTAGATCTATTTGGAGATTCTCCAAAAGGCAGGGGCTTGTTTATTACCTTTTGGTATCTCCTTTAGAGATGCTGTTCAACAATTTCACTGCAGCTGTGCTGGGTGCTTTAGTGTTTTCCCCTCTTTTGTTCAGTGAGACTAACTACTGAGATGTGTATTTTTTGTTGACCATTCTATTGAAAAAGGGGAGACAGAAGCCTATGAAAAATTTTCCTGATGTTTTAGGAAAGAAAGGAGTATATAATGAAGTGGTCACCTTAGGAAACCTAGGATGTCATTTATGCTGTCTTAAAATGTGTAAGAGACTGGGAGGGAAGTATTTTAAAGATGACTTGCACAGCTTGCGCTTTCCATCCTAATTCAGCTATCCAAAAAAGGTAATAGTCACCAAAGAGAAGATAAATCCATGGGGTATAGGACCTAATTTTAAACTATAATTCTTTCCCATTTTCTCAGAGAACAAGCAACAGCATTCTTTTACAGTCTTGTGGCTGCTAAGACAAAAAATCCCTTTTTCAGATAGTCATGCAAGTCATGTTGGGTCATTTTAGTGAATATAATAATATCAAAAGGGAAATACTGTAGAATTATAAAGACTTCAATTGTTTTCCAGCTAATTATTACAAATTTACGAAGAAAATGGTTGTTCTGTCCTAAATATGTCAAGAATATTAAAGTTTGTGATAGAAAAAAATTTTGTTTTAAGTATCTTAATCATGAATTATCAAAAACCAAAAAAGCCCTTTTAAGTGGAAATACCAATTAAACTGGTATCTGTGTTTCATTCTATGGCACTGCAAATGATTACAAACACACAGATTTTTAGTTTCGTGTGGCATTATATATGCATTACTATCTGCAGAATAGGTCTCTACAGAAGATTTTGAAATGCTTACACACACATCTACAGTCCTACACTAGAGATAACATGATATGCATCTCTCTATGGAAAAACTGCAATATCTTTCTCCCTAAAGTGGTTTTATATGCAAAAGGAAATTGGAATTGCTCTATAAATATACATGAAAAGAATTTCCCAATAAAGAATTAAACTCGACTTCATTGTGCCTTTGTGGCCTTATTACACTGGAAGAGTGAGATCTTGAATTGTAAGCACTTGTTTACACATTGTATTTCACAATCTTACTGGCAATAATACTAACATTATAATTTTAATATGGAACACTGGTAATGAAACACTCTGCAAATACATGTGTAACTACTTTCCATCTCAGTTTAAAACTGCCTCACATAAATTACTTTGTAACATTTATATGGTCCCAGAAACTATTGCAAGTCTTTTAAGGCATCCCAAGCCTTAAATTCCCATAATTAGGGGGTAGAGACACAATAAATGAATGTTTAAAGGTAAAAAAATTACATGTCTGAGCTAGTGCTTGCAAATCACCCAAACAACAAGCACACATTGACTTGAAGAATATAATAGTTAATATTTAAAATAGACCCTATATAATAGTTCCATGAAAATACTGATAATTTTAAATTGTGTTTTAAAATAATATAGCCTGAGTTCACTGAGCTCTCAATTAGTAAAAAATTTTAAAACGTGCATATTTAAGTAAAGTAAGCATGATACACACAGTACTGAAAACCTATTACAGAGACACCTGTTAGAGGAATACTAAACATGTGGTCTTGATAATAAAAACCCCTAGGAAAGCCATTAAAAGCTTTCAAGTGGTCTGTTATTTCACATTTTCAATATCCCCCCAGTATGACTTTGCTTTTTCTATGCTGCAGGATCTTTAACTGTAGTACAACCTTTAACACTATAGATAACTAATGTTATGTTTAAAAATACAGACAACTCACTAAGCTCCCAATTACTCTAGATTTTAAGCAGATAACCAACATTCCTTCGGGAGTTAAAAGGAAAAAAATTCTTACCTTTAGGTGCCAGCTGTAGAAACTGCTTATGAAGTGTAGCAAGTTGTGAAATAGTTAGAGTACTGCTTTCAGAGGTTTCTATGCGTTGAAATTCTGGTGGAGGAACAGGGTCAGGAACAGGGTCAGGAACCATTTTTACGTCTCTATTGATGTAGAAATCTGTTCCTTCTAAAGTCATTTCATATAGGATTTTGCTAGAACTCTCAATATGATGTCGTGCAACCTCTACCAATTTTTCAACACTGAAAATATAAATACAGAAACTCATTAATATAATACACAGTGTTAACAACGTAGCTTTAAATTCTAATATGCTTATGCTTTTAAAGTTTTCCTAAAGTAAGAATTTCAAACTTTCTGTGTGAATTCTGTAACTACCAAAATCATTATGAAGTCTACTCTTCCTCTGGATGCAAGAAATGTTTGACTGCAGTCAGAAATTTATACGAAGTCAGATCTAACACACAGAAGAGACCTGATGGAAAAACATGAAAACACTTCCTAGGCTAGCATACTGGAGAGGCACATATCTCCTCCTTTAAGTGCAATGAGTACAGTTTATACAGAGAAATACATCAGCTGTCTATAATGTCGAACACAGATTTGGCTTGGAGTGTCAGGTCAAAGGATATGATATTCCTTAAATGCTATGTCTTTGTTAGCACATGTCAGGAAAGCAAATAAAACTGGCTGGAAGGAAGAAGCTTTGCCTCTTTGAGCTATTTCCTGTTAAAGTCTTCACAGTCTCCATTTATGCCTCTCTTCTTGGTCATGCCCTGACATGGATCAAGCAGCACTGTCTCAGATATGATTCAAAAGCTATTATAGGCCAGGAATACTTTGCAAAAGGCAAAGTTACTCCTTTCCTTTAGAGAGGAAAAGCCCTTTAATGATACAGACATTGGTCATTCTATGCCAGATAGTCTAATGTGCTATAGCGATCCCAAGTACTTTTTATTTACTGGGACAGAAAAAATTGTGAAGGAGAACATTTTTTTAATGGTCCTTGAAATAATTTTGAGAAACGTAATATGTGGTGATAAGAACAACAGGTGGAATTTTCCAATGTGTGTAAAGAACAGGAAAGAAGCTACTGAAATGACTACTGAATAGAATAACTGATTGTCTGCTCAGTAACCTGCTAAACCTGTAGTCAAGAAAAATAGCATAGAATGATATTTACCTTTACAGCTACAAGCAGAACCTTTTAATCAGTCAAGAAATGAGATACTAGCATTCAGGTTTCTGAGATAAAACTACATGAACAGATTATTTTGTACATTTTTTACATAAATTACTTCTGTCTCCAGACACAACTATATTTACTACCTTAATCTAGGTTAAAAAAAAGAAAAAAAAATCCTATATAAAATGGATACACGTTACCTTGATCTTTCCTCCAAGAAGGTGGATCCAAGCCACTTTTCCATATCTTTATAAGCCTCTTCTGCTTTCAATTTTAGATCCTCAAGATATACTAAAGCTTTTTCTTTTATAAGTTCTAGCCGAGATTTTGTGGCTGCCTCTGTTTAAATGGTAAAACCATAATGAATAATATTTATAAAATGTGAGGAATGTTCTCAGTCTAAGCAGCTAAACTTCAGCATATTTAACTGTTTTTAGCTAGAAGTACCTTAGAGGATACTTGCTGCCTGGCTAGTCACTTTTCTGTAGTACAGTTAAGGCTGATGTAATTGTGGCTTCTGTACATGTTCTTTGAGCAGCTGCTATCAGTATGTTACAGAGGTAAGTGCATGACAATTTTTGTCTCCCTAAATTTTCAGAGGTAGGTACTGATAAAGCTGCTCTCTTAACACTAACAGAATAAAAGGCAAGGTACATTGATGCAACAGAGAAATTAAATATTAAATCAATGTTAAAAACTTAGAAACTATACACAACTAGTACCTTTGCTAGTCTCTATCTATCTGTATAAATGAAAACCACAAGTTACTGAAAGGCAACTGGCTAACAAAGCAGCAAGCAAAACTATGATTCTCAAATACCAGCTATTTGCCTGTGCAAATAGGAAATAGAGTTCAACATGTTCAGCCATTCTTAAGTTCTTGGGTTTTTTTTTCTTAAATAGAGGATGAATGTCAAGGAAAGCAATGCCAAGGAAAACAAATACATGTTAATGAATTACTAAAATTAATCTTCATGCAATTAGGATCTTCAAAGTTATTACTATTCTTCTCATTACCCCAAGAACTTGGAATTTTTATTCTGGAACTGCTTTTGTATTAAACCATGTTCAAAGATGTAGATGTACAAGTATTTGGTCTGACTGGATCTACAGAAGGCTTAGGAGTTTGTGGTTTGTTCAATAACTGCTGTTTACCCTCTATTTTTCATAATAAAATACTATGTAATAGCCCAACAAAGAGGTACCATATGATGATGGGCTTGCCAACTGTTGCCAAATAGAATCAATAAAAGCTGGCTTCTCTCTTCTCTTTAAAAGAGTTTTTCTTCTAATCTAAACCTATCTTAAAAAAAATTCTCAAATCATCTTCAATTTGGGACTTCCTTTGTTCAGACATCTCCTTTTGGCTGAAATGAACCATTTTACTTGAAAGTTACTGGGTAAGACTTAAAAAGAGGCAGAATGACTGAACAATATATCGGTTTTGGAAGAGTGTCCATAAAGCAGTTTGGAAGAACAAACACAATCTATGTCCTGCTGCTTGAATCCCAAGTTGCTTGAAGAGGATGGAATCAGAGAAAAACATCAGTGAAATATGCAAATGCCAAAAAATTTTTTCCCAGAACAAAACATTTCAAATACTGAATCCAATTCAATTGAATATTGAAGTGTGAGTAACAACTTATGCAAAATATTTTCTCTCAAGATGAACATTTGCTTAGTCATGACAAATTAAATCAGATGAAATGAAACAGAAGGAACGAAAATCATATTACTATATTTACTATATTTACCAGAGAATGACTGGTTGACTGGTGATTACCACACCAAAAATATTTAATGATTTCTCCAGACACAACTGACTCGCCTTCTTTTTCCTTCTTATCCATCCGTTTTGCCTACTGTCTCTGCTTAGTATTGACTAGCATACTAGTCAAATTAGAAATAACAATCACCAACAATACAAATAACCAAATAGTAACATACCCTCATGTTTCAAGGCACTGAAATATTCTTGCATTATTTTAAGTGCCAGTTCTTCTTTCCTTAATTCTTCTGGGTCTATAGAAGCTGGAGTAGCTTTTGCTCCTGCAGAAAAACAGACCTCTTAGACTTTGGATTTGCTTATACATTTGTGTATAATGAAAAATTACATTTTCCACCTTACTTGATGTGACCATTTATGAGAATGCAAAGGTGGATACTTAGCTGCCAAATGTGATTTACATCTGCAAGTCATGCTAGGGTTAACACTGCATATAAATACCCCAGCATATACAACTGTACTAAAGTTGGTTAAATAACATCCTAAAATGTATTTCTGAACGGAAAATCATGACTGAATAACTGTCCCTCTCACTTGATCCTAGATGGTCAGAATGTCCTGTTTGATGTATTTACTTACCAATTTATCGCAACCAGAACATAAATAAGTATATTTTGAATAATACTTGTTTCTTCTGGAATAAATGAAAGTTTAACAAACTATAGTAAAAATGTTATGGTGGTAGTTAACATCAAAGCAGTGAAAAGAATTATGCTATTAAAAAACAAAAAACAAACAAAACAAAACAAAAAAAAAAAACAAAACCAAAAAAAATACAGAAAGAAAAAGGAGATCTGTTATTTCATGCCCCTGCACTTCCACCTTGTTTTGACTTACTTATCTAAGATATTGTAAAGGTATTTTATCATGTTTTTAGAGATTGCATGGAATTCTGTAGCCATACCACTTTTACTGAACAATATTAAAATATTTGTAATTGCTTTATCCTAGAAGAAAAGCAGATGGAGATGTTACAGAAAAAAATATAATGATATCTGCATGATACATAAGATCCACACAAAACAAATCTCAGCTCTAGAAGTGATAAAACTACCTGTGGTAAGTTGTATCACTCTGTTACAAGCCCATAGCCCCATCCTAGGGAGTTCTCATGTTACAGGAACGCTACAGTAACACTGTATTTGAAATTAAATCAAAGCCAGCACTTCAGTTACAAATCCATCAGTTCATACTTCATCTTCTACTAGGAAGAATGCATGCTTTCTAGCTGCAGTTCTAATTTTCTGATTTCAGATAATCTTGTACCAGGTCTGAACAAAAATTTGGTTCCAATAAGCAATCCATAAACTTCAAACTAGCATGCAACAGCTGCTGATTTTTATCACAAAACCCTTCTATAAGTCTGAAAATCTGCTATTCTCTTGGCTAAATTGAGATGCTAAACTAATCCTAAGGCTCCCTGGAGCTCACAACCTGGCTATGTATTTGCAAGGCTTTGCTTCTGTTCACTCTGTATGGGCAGAAATAACTAGAGAGAGAGAGAGAAAGAGAAATGAGCACAGTGCAAACCAAACTTCTGTCAAAGAAAACAATTCAAATGTGTTATGCACAATAACTCTGCAGTTACAGTTTTCTCATTTGGAGTACCCAAATTTCAGGCTACCCTACACCCACAGGGCTTGAACTTTTCTCTTGCTATGTAGAATATCTTAACAAAAGACAGAAAAGTTTGGGCTACAGGCCTTGCTTCCTAATGAAGTTATGACGTATTGCAGACAAAAGGTGAAGATTACATAAACTACTATCTGCACAAGGAAATAGCTGTCAGAAAATGTATAAACAGTCTTGTATGCCACAATTTCTTGCAGCACATTGCCTGTTTTTGTCTCTTGGAAATAAATTTTATGTTTTCACCTGGTGGGATAGATTCTTGCCAGGCTTATGTGCAAGACCTACCTCAATAGGAATCTGCTCTTTTTTAGGACTTCAGCTGTCAAGTAGGCATAATTTAATAGGATTTTATTTAACTTGATAAACTAGCTTTAACTGTTCCATTGCAATACAGAACATGAAGAAAAAATAATATTTACTTCCCATTTAAAATATTTTTTCTACATATAACAACTAACACGTTTAAATAAATTCAATTGCCATTCAAAAGTCTTTCCCCTCCTTTATCACTACTAGCTTTTTATGCTGACATCACATTTTTAAAAAGAAATTATATCCATATCAAATGTGTTGGGTTATTAATTTCTGTATTATTAATATATTTACATTTCAGTTATTTCAAGCACTGCTAAAACAAAGCTTGCATTTTAAATACCTTTTTTTTTAGGAGGCGATTTGGAAGATGCCTTTTTGGCACCTTTGGTATCTTTCCCAGCCGCTTTGCCTGGTTGTTTCTGTGCAGCTTTCGAAGATTTCTGTTTTAGCTGAAGTTCTTGTTCTTCCTCCATTTCTCTAAACTCTATTTCAGCTGTTACCTTGACACCACAGTCACACATAATACAGTACATAGTATCAGCTCTGTGCAACTACTGTTTTAAATAGCCTATGCTTGCTGAAATTACTTGATGAGAAGTAGACACATTAAAAAAACAAAGGAGATATTTTAACTAATTGACTAAATTTTTGTTATTTATCAAAAATAAAATTCTGCAGCAAAAACACAAGACAGAGGCATACTGAGTTTAACTCTTGCATTCACTGCCTTTGCTTGAGGAAAACATTTGAAAAGCAAGAATTAACAGTACAGAAAGAAAGCCTAGAGCTACATTATAAGGGTGCAGAAATTAGTTTATTTTAAATGATCAAAGAGAAAATAAAAATCTAACCTAGAAATCAACCATCTGAAAATCTTATCTAATTTACTTTAAGCTACGTAGGAAAAAGGATGCAACCATAGGGTCTGAACATGTGAAAGGTTTGAGCAAACACTGCATCACAGGATTAAATTTAATCCATCTTCTCACACTTCTATTGAGGGATAAGAGAAGAGTTTGCAATGGAAGAAGATATATCGAGGCAACATTTGAAATATTCCTCAGTAATGGAATGAAAGGCTCAGTTGTAAGTATGGAGGTACAGAAAATACAGACTCCAGCATTTTCCTCATAGAACTACAAACGTATTCCATGGAAATATCAGTGCTGGAGAAAGACATATGAAACTGAGATAAAAAAAAGTGCAAAGATTATGTGTTTAGACTGCCTACTGAATGGGGGGCTTTGACTGTACAGTCCAGAAATCTTTAAGTAAATAAAACATTCCATACCATATCTGATACCGCTGTTACTGCTGTTTGCCATGTATCAATAACAAGATTTTTATCAGTCCTGCAAGTGGTCACTCCACTTTCAGAACTCTTATCCTGAAGACTCCTCTTCTTAGTTCCACTCTTTTCTGACTCACCACCGGGTGAAGGTGGTTTCAAAGAAACTAGAGGAATCCTCAAAAATAAAATATAAGGAATAATTTAGATACTGCTTTATAAAAAGTGTTAATATCTACATTGGAGAATGCACTGAAAGAAATTATATTTTCAAAATTTGCAATAGCAAAAAAAAGGGACAAACTTTCCTTATGACCAAACTGATGAGGTGTGTGTATGGCCAGAAAAATGTCCAGTTTAAGTGCAACAGCTAAAATATAATAACAGATAGATAAAACTACATCAAATGACTGTGTGATCTGCTGATGAATTCCACATTCAAACACATTACTCAGATAATTTCTAAATTCACTATAATTAAGTTAAAAAAATTAGGTGTTATTACTGATGGCATTTTCTATATTGTGAAAGCATCAGCTGGTATTCTTCATCTTTTAATATGGCATTCAGTTTGGTACATCTTTGTAGGTTGCTTTGATTTGCACTTGTTATTACGTAACAGTTAATTATATTTACATTTACATAAAATTGATAACATTTAATTTTATTTGTTTGCACAAATTTTAAACAAACTAATGTTCCACAACAATAATTTACATATATGAGGATTGTGCTGTAAACTATCAGCAATATAAAGGAAAGAAGGAAACATTTATATAAAAGTAGATTTCCTCCTGAGGCAGCTTTTAAAATGTTTTGCAATTCAGCCATGCATTGGTGAATATGATACAGGTAAATAAGTAAAAAATTAGGGATAAATGTAACCTCTAAAATTATTTGAGATTCATTATTTGACTATAATCCCTGGTTAAAAAATTCTTATTTCTCCATCCTTTGAAATATATACACATCTAATTCCACATACTCCAAAAATCTATCAGTGCATTCTATTTGTTCATTTTATGTGTTCTGTTTGTTCAATTTTACTGTGCATTTCTACCTTCTTGATTCATCTTGATCTTCTTTCTCTTCTCTATTAATAATATTTAACAATGGGATTCTAGTAAAATCTTGATTATCTTCTGTTGGGATTTTTCCTTCCATTGCCCTATAATAGTCATGAAGAAGTCTCTTTGTATCTTGGAAACGATCCAGTTCAACCTGAAGAAGAAAGGACAAAGAGATTGCAATACAACATACCACAGAACAAATTTTTGTTATCACATGTTAAAAGAAGCAATTCTAAATCTTAAGAGTCTGAGGGAGAGTAAGAAACACAGTCATATTTGTTTAAAATTTATAATATACTGAATGCATACTTCTATTTACATCTATAATGTATTCACACTGTCATTTCTAGGCAGTAATAAGAATCTTAATTGTTAAAATAGGAAAAGCTATTTACAATAAATAATGTTCAATGCATTAAATTTAATTACAATATATTATGATGAATATATATATTTCCCAGTAGCAACTACACTGGTGATGACAAATTACATGGATCTTCTTGTTCAGAAGAAATAAAGTCTTAAAAGCATAAAATAAAAAGAGTTATGTGATGGAGAAAATTTTAAAAGTCATACAGTTTTTCTGGACCTAAGTAATCAACGGACTTTGAACACCTAAGTGTCGTGATGTTTTTGTGTGAATCATCTCAGAAGAAATCAAGTAAGATGCAAGAAACATTTAACACCTGTCATGTTTTGATTTATTGATTCAGTATGGTGTTAGTCTCTAACTGACAAAACAGTACGAAATATTCATGGGAAAATGCACAAAACCACATTCACAAAACAAAGGATAAAACCTTTGTGGTGTAAACCAGCACTTATCCATAAGTTAAGGAGGAAATATCTTCTAGTATAAGAGTGCACATAGAAAGGAATGAAATCTGATAAACGGCATTTATACAAATCTATGTGTTTACACAGTTACAGAGCCACCTGGGGAATATATGTAACCTCCAACAGAAAACCCCACAAATGGAGAAGTCAATGACAAAGACGCCTATTTTTGGCTGCTCCTAAAAAGAATATTTATTACATAAAGTTATAGTTACTATATTTTTAGTCCTGTAGTTTTAGGATTAGTAATTCATTTCTTTGGCAAAATATGTACTAAGTAAAGCAAGAAGTAATGTTTTCTATTAAATTTTTCTTTATGAAAACAAAAGCTTGCAGTTAATATGTGTTAGCAATTTTAAACAGCTATTGTGCATGTCCACAAAAGACAGATCAAATTACATTCATAGTGAATTTCCACTGAACTCCATCATACATGCCCACAAAATTCTGTTAGAACTAGGATTGCAAGGCTATAACTAGAATAATAAAATATTTAAGCTCTGTAGTGTAACTTCGTCTTCTTTATGCATACAGTTCAAGATGGATTTTTAGAATATTCAGGACTATAAATATCCTAGTTACAGGACCAGAGAGGTTCACATAGTCAGCAGTTTTTTGATATTTTGTCTCTCTTTTGTCAGTGGCCCAAAGTCTTTATTTAGGGCATTATGTAGACTCTTTAAAACTGAAGTTAACAATTTCCTTAATACAGCACTGACTATTTCACAAACTTTTCTTGAATTTCCACAACACTCACATGAGATATGAGAGCAGCTCCCTTTTTTATTAAACATATAAAAATAGCAGAAAGAATTAAAGGGCTGAAAGCTCACCCTAAACTGCTTAGGCCTGGCTTTTTCAGCTAAATTAGCATCACAAGGCATGTGTTTAAAACACTGTTTTCATTGTCTTTAAATTTGCCAAAACTTTTACAGAATGGTCACTCCAGTTTGCACAAAAGCCTGTATAGCCAGTCTAGTCAAGAATACTCCAATCCAGCTCTAAACTAATTTTATGCACCTAGAACAGCAATAACAGGGAAACCTTACTTTACTGCAGGACTGAATGGACTCTTGAAAACTTTGAAGTTACATATATGAAAGCTCAGTCATATTTGAAAAACAGCAGCAAATGACATCTTAATCTCAAAACATAACTTGATTCTTTAGGGATTCTTTTTGTTCAGCAGCAGATAAAATTTCAAGCCACATCAGTGAAATAAAATTGAGATATGGGAAATACATTCACATCAAGTTGTGAATGATGTAATTAATAAACTAAAGGGAAATGTCAATATGATCACAGAAGGATAAAGAGCTGTAACATTTGTCACAAAACTCAAGATGATTCATTGGAGTTCAAAAACTGCAAAAAGTATCTATATAATAGAGATTGAAAGTTTTGGGGGTTGAACAACAAGATGGTATTTTTCTTAATATTTCCTGTAATCCGAGGTTAAATGTATGGAATGCCATCTCTTTTGCTTAAGTAATTTTTAATCTTCCACATATTTGGAGCCAACCATATGAAATTTCTCTCAGGCTTACTGCAGCAGTCCATACCTGCATAAGTGTAAAGTAATGGTTCATTGCAATCCCCCTACGATCAGGTAACCACTCTTCATTCATGATATCAGTACGTTCCAGCTCTGCTTCTTTCCTTCTGATGTCACAGATATCCCAGAGAAGATCTCTTAGGTCCTAAAACAGAAAACCATATATGGTAATTAAGTATGAAAGAAAACTTAGTTTTTTAATTTTTTTTTTTTTTTGCCTGTGCATTGGGGGCTTTTCCTTTATTGTTATAAATATGAACACCTGGTCAGGTCACATGCCTACAGAGGGCTGACAGAAAATTTCTTTACAAGTGTGCCAGAGCAAAGAACACAAAGATATGAGTTTAGTGTGCAGGCAGGCAGCCTGCCTTGCTTTCCTCAGGCAGTCATAATCTACCTAAGCTAGACAAATATGAATAGCTAAGCTCCCAACTGCACCAACAATTTTGCATTTGAATGGTTTGCTAATTAATATGCTAAGAATAGTACTCTCAGGGGATAAGATATGAAAACTGCTGAGAAAATTGTGTCTGATTTCAAGTGATTTTCAAACTTGAGTCGCTTCCACACCAGTTTTCTCTAATGTTCATTTAATTAAGGGCTCTTCAGCTAGTGACTATGTCAAATAGCATTACGGGGCTCAAATAGCACTACAGGGCTCACTGATAGCACTGAGGTCCTACTAAGCATAAAACATTATGCAACTTGTTTGTTCTCTATTGCCATCTCTGCATGGAAATAGTGTGACAGGCCACTGTGTGTAAGAGGTTATGGGAGGAGAAGAGTGCTGTTAAATACAGTGCCAAGGTAGGACAAGATGAGATGTCTCTGGCTCCAGGCAGTTCTATCCTAACTGACTTATTCTGGGACAGAAGAAAGGGAGAGGAGCTTAGGCTTCTGGTGAAGTGATTCCATATTCACCAGGTCTTGGTTGCAACCTATTATGCCAGATTCTATATCCCTCCCCCAGTCTGAAGAGTTCAGATAAATCCACTTGTCCTCTGTTAGACAAAAGCCACAAGGAAGTCCCTGGGCCACCTAGGACATCAGTGATGGCTAGAAGGTAGTCAAGGTGCAGGCAATCAGATATTCATGGCTGTTCACACTGTAGAATATGCACATAAGAATATGCTGCTGGATGAAAAATATTTATATTTATATCTATCGGCAGTGGTGAGTTGCCCTTTGCTGGTTGCCAGCTGTCCACCAAACTGCTCTATCACTCTTCCTCACAGGAAAGGGGGAGAAAATATGATGGAAAAGTTCATGCACCAAGATAATGATGAGGAGATCACTTACCTATCACCATCATATGCAAAACAGACTTGATTTGGGGGAATTAGTTTAGTTTAATGCAAATTAATAACACAGCAGAATAATGAGAAATAAAACAAACTTAAAAACACCTTTCCCCCATCCATTCTTCTTCCCAGGCTTAATTTCACTCTTGACTTTTCTCCCTCTTAAATGGCACAGGGAAAATGGGGAATGAATAATTAGGGTAAGTTCATTATAAATTTTTATCTGCCACTCCTTTCCCTCACACTCTTTCCCTGCTCCAGGGTGAGGTTCCTCCCATGGAATAAAGTCCTCCATGGAATTTTCTGATGCAAGTCCTTCCCACAGGCTTCAGTTCTTCAACAACCACTCCAGTGTGGATCCTCTCTGTGTGTGCAGCCCTTTAGGGCTCCAGTGTCCCAGTGTGTGTACTCCATGGGCCACAGCTCCTGCCAGGAACCTGCCCTGGACGGGCTCTCCACAGGCTGCTGCTCCTTCACAGCATGTCCACCTGATACAGCCTGGGTGGACTGCATGGACTGCAGGGTGGAGATCTGCTTCCCTGCAGTCCTCCAAGTGCTCCTGTGGAACAACCTGCATCACCATGGCCTTCACCACAGGCCACAGGGGAATCTCCACTCTGGTGCCTGGAGCACCTCCTCTTCCTTCTTCTTCACTGTCCTTGGTGACCATAGAGCTGTTTCTCACATTTTCTCACTCCTGTCTCACAGCTACCATGCTTTCTTACAGAAGCCACCTCTGCAGCCCCTGTGCCACAAAAAAAACTTTCATATAAATGCAATACTGCCCAAAAACCCACACTAATGTTTGTACAACTGATGTATAACTTTTTCCAGTATCTTTCTTAAACATGTAACATGAAGGATTTTACTCTTTGTCCTCATATTATTTAAGTCACAGTTTTGATTTACTGTAATCAGTGGAGAAAACTGCAGAGGAATACAGTGAGTTATATTCCTCTGGCAGAAGCTGAAAGCATGTTTTGAATCTTCTTTTTCTCTCTCTTTTCACAGTGAAGCAGCTTCTCTCTCCTTCTTTTATTGTAGTAAGGTCGTGAAAAAACTAAAAAGAGATGCATTTGCTCAGTCCTCTCCTATTTGGAACAAGAGAAGTAGCAACTAATCATATTCAATGATAGCAATGCACTGAGAGAGAATTTGGAGAAACTGCTGGAAGACAGATAGAGATGTGCTGCTGAAGTGCATTTTATCCACAGTAATTCTGTGGATATTTAGGATGTGTGCTGGTTTTGGCTGGAAAACAGTTAATTTTCTTCCGAGCAGTACGTATGGGTTCTGGTCTGGACTCGTGCTGGAAACAGTGCTGATAACACAGGGATGACTTTGTGTTTGCTAAGCAGCCCTTGCACAGAGCCAAGGTCTTTTCTGCTCCTCGTCCCACCCCACCAGCAAGGGGGCTGTGGGTACCAGGGAGCTGGGAAGGGACGCAGATAGGAGAGCTGACCCCAGATGATTAAAGGGACACTCCACCCCATATGGCACCATGCTCAGTATGTAAAGCAGAGGGAGAAGAAGGAAGCCGAGGGGACACTGAGAGTGGCTGTGTTTGTCTTTCCAAGTCACCGCTAGGTGTGCTTGGACCCGCCTGTCCTGGGGATGGCCAAACACCTGCCTGCCTATGGGGAGTGGTGGAAGAATTCCGTGTTTGCTTTGCTTCTGTGCACAGCTTTTGCTTTGCCTGTTGAATTGTCTTTACCTCAGCCCACGAGCTTCCTCACTTTCACAATTCTCTCCCCCATCCCACTGGTGGTGGGTCAATGGCTGTGTGAGTCTTGAGTGCAGGCTGGGGTTAAACCACAACATCAGGCCTAAGTCTTGGCTGCCCTCTGGCCTTTGGGCCTTTAAGGAATTTTACATACATCACAAAATGGGGTGGGTTTTTACATTTCCTGGTTGATATCAGAGAAATTTATTTTTCAGATATTACAGCTGGTATCTTCCAGTGTTTTAGGAAGGGTCCAGCTGAGATGATAGTGTTGAGAAGTCTGTGAGTTTGAGGAAAAACATCATGAAGATTGTCACTCTTTTCATTTCCTCTTTCCTTCTAACAGCAAGGAAGGATGGCTGACAAAATTCATACATTCAGGGAGATACAATGAGCATGGCTTTAACAGCATAGAGGAAGATCATCTACACAGTCAGCCACAGGTTTGGGATTCACAATGAGTGAACGAGTTATTTAATTATATATTCACTCCAAAGTTCTTAGGCTTATCACAGTATCTGAGTTTCACTGCATCATACAGAACTATAACCTCCTCTTCACATAATTTGAACTGGATAATGTCAAACATGGATTTCTATTCTGAGCAAAAGGCCAAATGTTTTGATTTTGTCTTTCTAAAATATAGGACAGAGTGATTCCAGTCTTTTTAAAATGCCATTCAGTAGAAATTAGGAATATGGATGGTGATTTTTCAAGCTTCTACTCCATTCTCTTGGAATATTTCTATGGAAAAGGACACCCAATGCTTTTTCCATCTCAGATGAATTAATCCATTATTCCTCAAATGTTCCCTTCAACTATAAATGTTGTCAGTATTCCTTTTCTCCTTTTTGGGGAGCATTTCTGATAGTACTGAACTAAAAATCATGTCTGTTCTGGAATGGAATCTGATTAATTCAAAGATAGCTCTATTTTTGGCTTATACTAAATCTGGCTCTGAATTTGTTAGGACATTTAGTGAAGGATTTTTGTCATAAAGAATTCAGGACATGATCTAGAAAAGATCTACCTGAATCAAAACATCCCAAGAAATTCTATGTACTTTGTAAGAATTAGTTTTAGAAAGCAGAGACTATCATATAATTTACAGAAAAAATAAAATATTGCCACAATTTTTTAGATTGTAATAGAAATATTCAACTTGTAACATCTCAGAAAACCACAAAATGTAAAAAAAAAAAAAAAAAAAAAAAAGAGAGAGCAGAGAAATATTAATTTTACATTAATTTTACATTGTACCACAATACCACAGCAAAATGTAAGAAAATTATGGACAAACAACAGTTGAATAATTTTAAGGGACCGATTATACACAAGAGGAAAGGACATAGTTTAAGAAGAACTGTAAAGAGGAAGAAAGGAGTAAATAATATGATTCATGTTATATCAAGTTTGTATACAAGGAAATAATAGTCTAGGGTATATTGCAATTTCTGTCATTTACTTACAGTAACCCTTTGGTGTAGTTCAGCTTTTGTTTCCTCATCGTCTTGCAGCTCATTAGCAATTGAATTAAAATCTGCTTGCCACTGAGATACAAGCTCCTGCTTAAGATGTGGACGTTTCAAATAATCTTGAAATTTTTTTCTGTAAATTACAGCAAAAATAACTTTTGGGCTACAGTATGGGGCATGAAAAATACAAAATGTTAATATTAATGTAATAAGATACTATTCCTACTTACCTAATATCTGCTGTGTAATGAATTATAGTGTACTTTTCATCCCTCAGACACCTAAGTACAGTTTTGATTGTATTCATATATGTATTTTCTACCATTTCCCAGTAAGGTACTAAAAAATCAATTATCTCCTGTGAATTTTTAAAAACATCAAAATTAGTTTATTTATTTCTTGGTAATTCATTTATCTGTAGCATTAGCAAATACACAAAAATATTATTTCATGAAATCATATTATTGATTTTTTTCCCACTATGTGTTTCCTTTGGTTTACAGCTGATTACACACACATTACCAACATATACTTTTATCCTGTGAATTTCTTTGGGAAAAAGTGGTAGATCTCTAAAGGAATGGAAAATTCCAGCAGAATATTCCAGTATCTGTTGTTTTGGATATTCTCATAAAATAGGTGATGATACTGAATGATCACTGAATAAGAATATTTGGTCACTTATAACTGTTTGAGCTCATAAAAACCTAAGCTAACTGCCTAGTATTGCAAAAGTGATGTTTGACTGACTGACTAACTGCTATGAAATGTAAATAAAGGCCATGGCCAGAGGAAACCCAGCATATGTGAGCTGATGGTAGTTAACAGAAAAAGCTGGTAAACATTAGGTAAACAATTACAGGACAAATTTTAAGTCATCATTGTCCAGCCTTGAAAAATCTGCATCTCAGAAAGTGCATGCAGTCCCAGTCACTCCTCTCAAAAAATTTACAGAAGAAGTAGACAGATTATAACTGGATTGGAGAACAAAAGAAACATTCAGCAAAATGAACATTTAAGAGATTCTTGTCGTATCTTAAATGCCCTCAAAGGTTGATTATAGAATTATTATTCATTGTAGCTCTCAATATGTGAATTAGTGTCACCGTGAATTAGGGTCACCAAATGATCCAAGAAAAGATCATGGTTTAAATGAAGAAACAGAAATATTTTTCCAGAATTAGGATAATTATACAAACTACGTCACAGAGAAGAAAAAGTGAATGGCTTCAAAAAGCTACTAAACCAAATAAAAAACATAATCATGAAAGAAAAGTCCATTGAGAGCTACTAAGCACTAGATGCAGATATACAGCCATTTCAGAAAACTCCTAAATTTCAGATCACTAGAATCTGAGTAAATGTCCTTGGGGAGAAAATATTAGGAAAAAACCATACTAGGACAAAGATTAGCACACTCCTCATTCTTACTCTTTGTATGAGACCCACAAATTATCCTTGTCAGAGAAAGAAAAGTGATCTAGTAAGTTTATTTTAGTATTTCATAATAGTAAAAAGAATTACTGCTTTGGCAGCTGTATTCTTCATTATATTGCATAGAATTAAAAAACAAAATTAAATTTAGAAGTAAAATTCCTTATCTTATGTATTTTAGTAGAAACTGGTCTTTGTATATCTATCACAAAGTAATAGCATACCTTTAATTGAAAAATATTGAAAAAAACCCAACATGCAATGATGTAAAAGGTTTAGGTAGGACATACATAAAACACTAAGAAAAATATATACTTTGATATTTAAGATTTTCAGTTGGGAATTAGTGTACCTGGGGAAGTGGTTCATCTACATAAATCCATTCATCTGATCCTGGTTCGATCGTTGGTGGTTCTTCAGGCAAGGGAGAAGGCTCTATAACTGGTAAAACCTTTTCTTCTTCATCTGTGACTGGTAAAACCTCTTCTTCATTTGTAACTGGTGAAACATTTTCTTTTTCTGGTGGTATTTCTTCAGCAGCCCCTTGATATGAATGTGCAATTAATACTTCCAAATGTATTTTAAGTATCAATAAACAAAATTAGACATATCTGCTGCTCTCATAAGTTCAAAATAATGGAACAGATTCACTATTTCATTACTTAGGTGTTGTTCATTGAAAATATACTCATGAAATCAGGGAAGATTGGATCAGTTAACACTTAAACAAACTCAACATGCATAAATCCAAGGGCCCTAACAGGATGCATCCCAAAGTGCTGAGAGAGAAAGCAGATGTAATAGCTAGCTGGCAGACATGAACACCCAGCTCATGATCATCTTTAAGAGGACGTAATAGCTAGCTGGCAGACATGAACACCCAGCTCATGATCATCTTTGAGAGGCCATGGAGATCAGGAGAGGTGCGTGAGGACTGGAAGAAAGCAAATGTCACCATGGTGAAGAGGCCATGGAGATCAGGAGAGGTGCCTGAGGACTGGAAGAAAGCAAATAGTCTTCAAAACAGGGAAGAAGGAGGACACAGGGAAATACCAGTCAGTCAGCTTCATTTAAATCCCTGGAAAGGTGATGAAGCCCATCATTCTGGAGACCATCTCTATCCGCATGGAAGACAAGAAGCTGATCAGGAGTAGTCAGCATGGATTCACTAAAGGGAAAACATGCTTGACTAACCTGATACTCTATTCTGCTTATATGAACCTAATAGTGAAGGACAGCTTGGAGGCTATGAACACAGATACTGAATTAAACTTTATTAATTGACCCCAGGTATTATTTTTCCTTAGGGAGTAAATAGCCCTTAAATACTTCTATATAACAGCTGGATTCTAACTAGAAAATCTTCACTCCATTTGCAACAATAGGAATTTTGCTATTGAATCTAGCAGGGCCATGAACTATATACCAAGCATATAAAAAACCCCCTCTGAACTAGAAACGTTGCACAGCAGTAATGTAATAAACTTTTACTGTTACAAGTGCTTTTAAAGTTTGGGGTTTTTTTTATTTTGGTGTTAGAAGACACATGAAGATTTTCTCATAATAGTTATGAAAAAACTCTGGTTATTTAGAGGTCGCTCTTGCTGGTTTATGTGACGCATTTGTCCCCTTGGATGCTTCATCTGTTTTTCTTTTATTTTTTTTAAATGATTTAAAATTATTCCTTCTTTCTGGATAATAAGGAGGAAAAATGAAACAAATATGTACCAAAATTAAATGTCAACACCACTTCTACTTATCCATACTTCTATGCTGCTACTGATATATGATATATGATATTGACTATATGTTCATAATGGCAAGTTAGACTTTCTTATAGTAACCCATAGATGAAGATGCTGGCTGTAATTTTTAAACCAGGAAGAAAGGACTGAATTTAATGCTTTAATTTTATGTGAAATTGGTCCATATATTCCAAAAAGGTAAAAACACAACAGAAAAGTTCAGGCTTCTGGTGCAGTTATCACTAACTGGCAAGTCCTCAGATTTTTTCAGGGGCAGCAGAAATGTAGGTTGACATATAATTTTATATAGTAATTATTAGTGTTAATTATAAAAGACAAAGTCTGTTGTTACTGAATTCTAGAAAGTAAGACTATGAAAACTTACTTCTATTCTGATTTTTCACCATTTCTTCTATTATAATTTCCTTCACTGTTTCACACACAAGACTTTCTTCTGTCTCTGCATTTACTTTCACTAGATTGTTTTGATGGCTGGAAAACCATTTCTCTAATTTTGGCCACGTCTTTAGGAAGCCTGAAATCCTACAAAAATCATATCAAGGTATTAAATTAAAACCTAACTAATGGAAATGAAAACATTTTCTAAAATTGATAACTAAAATAAAAAGCAGATCATCTAATTTAACACTAAAACAACTCCGCCCACATCAACCCCATAATTTTAAATATAAGAAAGTTTTCAAAATTCTATTGATAACTAATAATGTATTTTTACTCTTTCATATCACAAGTCATATTTGCTTTCTAATATCACAATTAAACCAATAGTAATACACAATATAACAGTCTGAAACAGTTAACAGTATCAAATATTCAGAAGAAAGAATTGTTCTTTATTTTCCTCTTTGTGTAAAGTTAAACATCTAGTGATTCAATTTAAATTAAAAAAACTAATAAGTGGGTTTTGTAAAAGTAGAAGTGGAAAATAACATTTTACAAAATCTCTAACTCAAATCAAATGTATTTCACTTAAGGGCAGTCATGTGTGACAGACCTCAGATATAAGTGCACACATAGATACACATATATATACAGACACTGTTCATGCACTATATACCTGAAAACTAAATTCCCCTTGGAACAATACCCTAGAAAATCAAAACACAAGAATTCTTATTTTCCAGGAGGATTTATATTGTGCAGAAAATGAAAATACCCTTTAGGCTCCACATTATAGAAAGGTCTGGGTAAATTCTTAACATTAAACATGTAAGTATTGTCCTATTGTCCTGCATCACATATGAAATTCATATCAGTTACATGCCTAAACATCTGGCTGAAGTAATATTTTTGTACTTCATGTAACTTACCTATGCAGCACCTGCTCCCTGGCCAAATCAATATTCTCTTCTAGGATTTCGGCATCTGAATTTTGATCGCTGCTCTGTTCAGCCTGAGATGCCTTTCTTTCACCTACTGTGTGGAAAACCAATATATAAGCATATATTGAAAAAGGCAATTACTCAGATGGTTATCCACCCAAACTAAGATAATCATAAGAACAAATTCAGTGCTCCTCAATCTTATGTTTCTTCACTTAAAAGCTGGGTAACAGCCAGCACCAGCCAACACCAGCAGGGTGTCCTGCCTCTTCCTCTGTTTAAGTGCATAGCCAATTATAGCACTAACATTTCCTAATGGATGCTTTTCAGCCAGAAAAATCTCCAGTTCAAGGGATGGAGCATTCCTATGGGCGACTACTTCAGGTTTCTCTACTCTACCAATTAGAAGGTATTTTCCCAATTTCATCCAAAGTACCTACTTTTCACAATGAACAGACATCCCACTTCATTAAAAGACAAAGTATTCTCTCTGTCTGAGTCTTCTTTAAATTTTAAAAAGATTTAATTCATTAGATTTTCTATTGTTCCTTTGACTCTTTCTATCATCACATTTACATCTTATGAAATAAATTCTATGTGTATTACTGAGATTATATTAAATATAACCATGTTACAAGTGTTTTGGCAGCACAAGGTCTTAAAATTAGCAGTTTTCAAGTGTCTGTACATTTATCCTCACATTTATCCTCACCAGAATTTTAGCAAAAGCTCTAAAGATTTTATCCCATCCTTACTCCTACCAATACATAAAAATGGTGCTTTAACTCAAGCTATTTGCCATCTATGCACTGCAATGAAAACATCAAAGAAGAATCTCCTCATAATTTGGATAATACACAACATACTCATTAAAAAAACTTCTGTTTCATCAAGGTCTTAAAATGTGTGGTCTGGAAGTGAAACAGCTCTCAAAAAGCCTTCGATGCCTTTGCCTTGGTTGGCCAGAATTGACTTCGATTTCTGATAATTCACTGACTAACTGAAGAGAAGACAAAGGCAGTAATCAATAGGGTATTTATTCTGGCATTCTCAGGGAATGAATATTGGCACATCCCTCTGTTTACAATTTGCTTTTTCCCTTTATAAGTGTGTCTCCGGAAGAAAAACACTATTTACAGACACTCACTTGTAATGCAGTATATTCAGCATCTATTATAACTTGTGGTTTTTTCCTGCTGCTGTTTTATGTGATATCTAACACCACCCACTGTGCTATCTCAGCTGCAGTGAGAGTTCAAATACAAAAGAGAGTACAAATAAAAAAAAGCATATATACATGCACTTGCACACTTTTGATCTGCCTTTGACTGAAACAAATAGAAGTATCTGAAATAACCTGGAAGTATTCAAGGCACAATTAACAAAAGTTATACAGTGAGATATACAGAAATTGTCCAGTAATGTTATTTTGCATTAATTACTAGAACTTACAGATATCTGATTGTCATTTTACTTTGTTAACAGGATTTGGAAACTTACACTTCATGTCAGCTGCACGTTTCAGTACCAGACTGTCTGAAATATCCAATAATATAGAAACATCAAATGCAGGTGAGGTAGAAGGAGGCTTGTTAGGGGTTCTGGGATCTATAGCAAGGGAAAGCTTTTCAGAAATTGGATCTTTTGCTTCTACATCAATCCCTGTATAGGATTTTTCAAATAGCTTTGCCTGATTAATTGTCATTGGAAACCCCTCCACAATCCACCCCTTCTCTGGTGGTATTTGGCTAAAAGGAAATGAAGAACCAGAATTACACAGTGAAATGATAGCTTAATAATAAAACTGAAAGAACAGCTTGCTCTAGCCATCCTCCATTTTTAATTCAGTATGTTAAATTTCCTGATGCATACAGAATATGACAGATATTATTAGACTGTAAAGTAATGGCTTTTAAATCAGAAGAAAATAACATCAAGTCTAATTAAAGTGAAAAAAATCAGAAACAAAAATTTTTTGCTGTCTTGATAAATAAAGGTTTTAAAACCACTCTATAGAGACTGCTCAGAGGTATAATTTAAGTTTTCTCAAATAACTTTTTTTCTGAAATAATAAATAGGAAAATCTATTTTACAACTTACAGTATACTAATGGGAGTATTACAACTTAAATGATATTCATGTAGGAACTTAAGTGCTAACTGTGCTTCAGGATAGTTGAGACAATTTTCTGTCAAACAAGAGTAGATAAAACCAAGTATCTATAACATTTCATACGTAATGGCTTCCAAGAGGATGTCAATTAGTAATTCATCAGGAACACTTTTGCCGTTCTTCAGCCATTTCTGTGATGCAGCACCAAGCTGGGCACGTACAGACAGCTGTGGAAGAGTGCAAGGTATGCTCAGAATGCCCATAACAGTCATTGACAAGAGTCTTTGAAAAGTGTATGACTCCATATTTTATATCACCTACTATTTATTTATTTATATTGGGGATGGTGGCTATTATTTATCAATGTTCAATAGTTGGGGGGGGTCTATTAAGGACAATAGTTTTAATTGTAAAAAATGCCTACTTTAATTGAAATCTCCAGCAGATTTCCATGATTACACTCAAAAAAATGCTGAAAAAAAATGATAGAAAAACCAAGGATATAAAGGCCAAAAAAATTAAAATTAAGTGTTCTGGTTCTCAGCTTATTCTGATTTCCATTACCACTGATTATTTCATACAGCAGCACATCAATTCATTAGTTTTACAGGGATTCTTTTATATCATAGCTCTGGAAGTAATTTTGAATGAGCAGTAGGCCAAAGAAATCACTGTAGAATTAAGCATTTTTTACATAAAGAAAAGAAACCTTGTCATGGGATGAAGTATCTGCTTGGCAGCAGCAAGAAGAAATACATTTTGCTAACTCAGTAATGTCATAGAAAATATCACATCTTATGTAAATTATGATCTTGTAAGATTTCACAAGAAAATATAGAATTTTAACTAGATGTACAATTCTAAACAACATACAGAACAGATTTTCACAATAAGCCCTTTTCATATTTCAGAAAAACCAGAAAATACTTGAACTTATGTCAGTAATTCCAAATTATGAAAACGGTGTCACCATTTAATTGACTTCACCATTTTAATGTCTTTTTATAAAGTAGAAATTAAAATTGAATTACTAACCTTAAATAGGCCATCCTGACTCTTATCCGATTCAAATTCCTCCTGGATTTCATCCTGAGATGGATCCTTTTCAACAGCACAATTGTTGAATGATGGACAATTGTTCCAAATTATGAAAACGGTGTCACCATTTAATTGACTTCACCATTTTAATGTCTTTTTATAAAGCAGAAATTAAAATTGAATTACTAACCTTAAATAGGCCATCCTGACTCTTATCCGATTCAAATTCCTCCTGGATTTCATCCTGGGATGGATCCTTTTCAACAGCACAATTGTTGAATGATGGACAATTGTTCCAAATTATGAAAAAGGTGTAAGCATTTAATGAATTTCACCACTTTAACGAATGTCTTTTTATAAAGCAGAAACTAAAATTGAACTACTAACCTTAGATAGGCCATCCTGACTCTTATCCGATTCAAATTCCTCCTGGATTTCATCCTGAGATGGATCCTTTTCAACAGCACAATTGTTGAATGATGGACAATTGTTCCAAATTATGAAAAAGGGGTAAGCATTTAATGAATTTCACCACTTTAACGAATGTCTTTTTATAAAGCAGAAACTAAAATTGAACTACTAACCTTAGATAGGCCATCCTGACTCTTATCCGATTCAAATTCCTCCTGGATTTCATCCTGAGATGGATCCTTTTCAACAGCACAATTGTTGAATGATGGACAATTGTTCCAAATTATGAAAAAGGTATCACCATTTAATTGACTTCACCATTTTAATTAATATCTTTTTATAAAGTAGAAATTAAAATTGGACTACTAACCTTGGATAGGCCATCCTGACTCTTATCTAATTCAAATTCTTCCTGGATTTCATGCTGGGACGGATCCTTTTCAACAAGACAATTGTCTAAAATAGGTTCTAAAATAAAGTTTGATGATCTATTACTATCAAATTCATCATTACAGATAAAGAATAAAAGTACATGGCTTGTTATTGTTCTTTGAACAAATCAATACAGAAAGTACATAAAATTGTTAGAATCGTAGAAGCATTGAGAAATTCAGGTTGGAAGCAACTTCTCGATGTCACCTAGTCCAAATACAAGCTTCTGCTCAAAGTGGCATCAGTTATAAGGTCAGACCAGATTTCTCAGTTGTTTACCCCATGTGATCTGGAAAACATACAAAGATGGAGACTGCACCACCTCTCCAGGAAATTTGTTTCAGTATTTGACTTTCCTCATGGGGAAAAGGCCTTGACTTGTGTCTAGCCAGAAGGGTAACAAAAAGGGCTTTTGCAGATCTCTCCACAAAAGGAGGGCTGGGGAAAACGTCTGCGGGGACATGCAAATGACTGAGGTGTCCCAAGGCTCTGAGACACACAGAAAAATCTGTGCAAGAAGAAATACTTACCTGTGGGAACTTCTGTTGTGGGCTCTGTTTGGAGCTCCTCTAGAAGATTTGGTGGTGAATTTGGTAAGTTCTCCTGGGCCTTGTACCAAATATGACAGGAAATGGCTTAGAATGAAAATTACATCTCACAGAAAAAACAAGCCTGTAAATTCAAGCTGATTCTTCCAGTCTTACCTGTCAAAATTTAGAATTAAGTTTGAAATTGAGTAAAAAAATTCAAACATGCTTTTTTCCTTACACATTTAATCCCCTTCTACCTGTTAGAGCCAAGACCAAAACTAGGGAATATACTTACCTCATTTTGCTCTCCAGAACTCTCTGCTTCCTGTGAAATTATGCTGGATTCACTTTTCATTTCATTATTAAGAAAAGCTTCAATGGCCTCCTGAACCAGAGTACCAACAGATAGTACCTGAATATTGCAAACTAATACACAAAAACATTAGATAGCTACAATGTGAGTTGAGTATACATACAGAGAAACTATTACAAGCAGTTAAATTAATTATTTAATTTGGGCTTCTAATGTAAATTGTTTTCACTCTTTCTTCTCTGTAACTATTTCATAGTATTTATCAACAATTGCATAGCTATCTTGCTAGTCTCTTCTAAAACCAGTATCTCCAAAGAAGTTTACCAAACTCATTTTCCAATTCTCAATGAAGAAGTATTGACATTACAACATTAATATTACTTTCAAGGTCCAGTGTTTCTAAGTTTATTTTGGAATATAACAAAGAATGACACGCAATCAACCCCAGCAAAATACAGATGCATCTGAGGTTCAAGAATTACTAATGCAAGGATTTGCCCAAACAATTTTAATTTAAGAGTGGTAGTTTAACACAAACATTTTAAAGAATTTTAGCCAAACAAACAAACAACCTCTACCTTTTTCAACAAACTTTGCACAGGTAGTTTTTCCACTAAACATTTTTCCCAAAATACATCCCTTGACGGGAAATGAAGGAAATTCACGTGAAGATTTGGGTTTTGGAGGATAGAACATTTCCATCAGTCTACGAAGCACATGACCCAATATGTTATTATTAAGAGGAGGTTTGTTTTCACTGTTCTCTTCAGTTGGGCTCCATTCCCCTGTCATACTCTGTATAAATGAAAAATTAGCAAATCTCAATATTGCTAAAATCTTGCCTTCCACCTTTCTAAATATATGTACTTATTCACATAAAAAAATACATAAAATAATGAAATTTGAATAGTACCCAATAATAACAGTTTTTTGAATAAAACCTTATTAAAATCTGTAATTATGCCACAATCATTAAATATTTATTGATAACTAGTTGAGAGTCAAGTACTTATATAAACATTTTCATATATTCTGTGATTCTGCCTCTGGATGGATGCCATAGAGAAAATACAAGAAAAGGTTAATGATTTAAGGACAGGAAGAGATCACTCACCAATTACCATTACGGGCAAAACAGACTTGACCTGGGGAAACTGGTGGAATTTACTATTAATCAAAATTGGAGGAGGATAGTGAGCACTAAAACAAATCCTACAAACACCATTCCCCCAGCCCTCCCTCCTTCCCCGGCTAAACTTTATTCTAAATTTTGTAGCTCCTCCTGCCCAGCAGAGCAGGAGAACAGGGAATGGGGGTTATGTTCAATTCATCATGTTGCTTCTGCTGCTGCTTTCTCCTCAGAATGGAACTTTCATCTGCTCCAGCATGCTGTCCTTCCCACAGGACCCAGTCCTCCACCAATATATCCAGCCTGAGTCCTTTTCATAGGCTGCTGTTCACAAACCAAGCTCCAGCTTGGTCCATTCCATGGTGTACAGCCTTCCATGAACATGCTGCTCCAACACAGGTCCCCCATGGGGTCACAGGTCCTGCCAGGAACCTGCTCCAGCACAGGTTTCCATGGGCTCACAGCCTCCTTCAGGCACATCCACCTGCTCTGGTGTGGGCTCCTCCAGGGCTGCAGGTGGATCTCTGCATCACCATGAGCTTCCATGGGGTGCAGTAGAATCTCAACAACGGAGCACTTCCTCCTTGTAATTCACCACGGACCGCAGTGTCTATGGAGTTGTTCCTCTCAAACCTTTTCACTCCTCTCTTCTCTGACATCTGCACAAAAAACTTTATTTTCTTCTTAAATATTCTATCACAGAGGCGCCACTGCTATCCCTGATTGGCTCAGCCTGGGCCAGTGATGGCTCCATCTTGGAGTCAGCGCTGGCATTGGCTCAGTTGAACATGGGGGAAATTTCCAGAAGATTCTCAGAGAAGCCACCCCTGCAGCCCCACGCTACCAGAACTTTGCTGTGCAAATTTAATACAGAATCCTGTATCACTTTTTAAATTCCATAAACACGAAAAATAATTTCACCAATACTATAGAATTAATCAGTAGCAGATTTTTGTATTAGAAATCTACTATCCTAATATTCTGTATTCTAAAATTGGGCAATATTATTGCCCAGTATCATTTTTAAACCTCTAAAAATTTCATGAATAAAGATTTCAAATATATGTATTTGCCTAACACACATTCAATAGAGAGAAAAAAAATCAAACCAAAGCCAACAACTCAAACAAATTCTAACATCATTGAGGGAAGGAAATACTAAGAAACTTCCAGTTCATCTACTCTGAGATAAATATAAATTTATTATTTGTATGATTTACTAGGTTTTACTGGTAAAGATCATTTTACTCAGTCACACTGGAAGAATGAAAGAATGTAGTCCAAAGAACGGAACACAGAACTGTACTTTTACTCTACCAGTTTCACTTATAGCACTAGGAAAGTCTGGCTGTCCTGGAACTTATGCTGTGAGAAGCTAAAAGATATTTTACTATGCAGAATAATACCAGTCCTGTATTGATATTTATTTGGTTGGAGGATATTAAACAGCTCTTTGGAAATATGTAGATTAATAATATTTCCAACTAGATTCCAGTTGTCACTTCATTTTGGGTGCACAACAAAGCTTTGAAGGCAAAGTCAAAGGTTTCAGCCAGGAACATTCCAAGCAGAAAAAAAAAAAGGAAGAAAAAACTGGTTCACAATGAAACTAGTAAAGTATGGGAAAAGATTGCGCAGAGAGTCTGTGAAATCTCTATACTTGGAATAACTGAAAGTTGACCAAACAATGCTAAGCAACCTTACCTGACTCAGAAGCTGGCCTTGCTTTAAGCAAATGAACTCCACAAACATTTAATCCAAACAATTGTGTAATTCTATAAATTAAGTATTTCTTCACCATCAACAGAAGTGAACAATGCTAAAGTTCTACTCAAATATAAGGTTTAGAACTCATATTCTGGGTAGAATATACAACATTTTCCTGAATTTACTATCTGAACCATGTATTGTCATAGCATACATTCTACTAGTAGACCATGATCAATGCTGACTTTGAACATGTCTACCAGACAGAAAAAAACAATTTAATTATCAGTCTAAAATAAATTTAAATTAAAATTAGAAGTCACTTATTTTTAATCAATATAAACAAATAAAGTAAATGTTTTTGGGTTGCACCATATCCCCTCTCTATCATCTCTCAGAAAACACACTTCTTCATGTGTAATTGAAAAGATATCCTTTAAAAAACCCAAATATTTGCACTATCTGAATAACTTTTTTTTTAAACCTATAGGCAGAGATGGATCAGTTCTTTAAATTCTATTAGACCTCTAGAAAAAATTAATTCAAGTGGAATGGGTTCCCCCACTTTTCAGTTATCTTACCCTTTTAACCAGAAGATTGCTAGACTGTACCTGTCATGAGGTAAAATAGCTTACCTTTCAGAAACAAGTTTTCAGGCATCCAGGTGGGAGTTATGTAATTCCTGGTCAATACTTTTGAATGAATCCAACAATTATTTGAGAAGTACCTAAAGCTATGCTTGGCTTTTAGTTATTGTATTAATTTATTAAGTGATTAGCCACAACTTATAACATGGTCGTTTCAAAAAATATTCTTACAATAAAATATAATATGTAATGTGGAATGGACTGATGGCACTGTATTTTCTTGTATTTTATCAAATACATCTGACACTTTTAGCTGGTCTGCCTAATGTATGCAAGGTATTCTTGAGAGATGCCAAACTGTCCTGGGCTTTTTTCACAAACATTAGGAAAACCTCTACAAAAGTTGTCAGAATGACCTACCAATAAATTTTTATCTAGAAGCAAGACTTTGAAAGAATTAGCTGTTCCCTTAGGTTTTTAGAAGACATAAGTATGAACTGGTGCCAACAATTTCACATGTCATATGATGTCAGTTTTTGATGAATAATGATTCAGAAAGGCATAAGAGTAACAACATCTGGGAATAAATTAATTATGAAATAATTTGAAATACTCTGGCAGGAAAAAAGAGGCCTTCAATGAGTCAATACATTTTTGTGACATTCAGTGATGCTACACTTAGAGAAGATTACTGAGACTTCATAATGTAAATAAAAATATGACTGAAAACCTTAATTTTTCATTAGTGCTTTCTGTTTCCTGCCTGTTTTTTATGTCCTCCATGCTGACTTCATATATAGCCCTTTTTTCACCAAAGAAAATAATCACAAAATTCCTACATGAGTTGGTATGCTGTTAATTAGGACCTTATAAAGAGATAAATCAGAAAGGCATATGTTAAAAATGAAGCTACAGTAAATTGAGCTTTCAGGCATTCATCACAGAAACTCATAATAAACATCTATACTCACTGCAAAACAAAAATGTACCAAGTGGCTCAGGATGTGGACAAAAATCAAACATGTATTGTAGTTATAAATCCCTAACAAGAAAAAGACTGGGTATTTGCCATGATTTTGTCACATTCTACTCACCAGGCTATTTGAAAAGTCTAAATATGTAGTGAGATTTAATGAATATAATCATGAATATGATTTTGAAAAAATTGTATAATATATTTTAACAGGGAATCATCAACCCTTAATATTTCTATTTTGAAATAACATTGACATATTGAAAAGTTGATGAAGTTAATATACCCTGAAAAATATTTACTTCTATTCTAATAGAAGATTAAGAAAAATGCCAGCCATTTTTAATAATTTTCAAGAAAGGTTACTGCATCAAAGCAAATCGTTCACTCGAACCAATAAATCTTGTTAGAGAGTTTTCATTCAAAATTGATGAAATTAAGAGTTCAAGTTTTGCAACATGTCTAGTATTTCATTTTACTGCTTTTACTGGTTACTTTCTGTTGTATTTTCCAATCCGGTAATAGTAATTATACATTTCAATTCCAATTAGCTGAAAAATCACTGCATTGCAATTAACATGCTGATCCTACAACTCAAGAAATATAATAAAGATTATATATAAGAAAGGAATTATAACTGCTACTAACATCAAATACAGTTTTCATATAAAACATCAGGCAGTGAAAAGAAAATGCTTGTCTAAATTTGACAATAGAAACCAATAATAGAACAAAATGCAGGATCACAACATGAAGTTTATGATTATGAAAAAGCAAGGTGTATTATCTTCCATTACGCCTCATCAGTTTGGTGTACCTTGTATTCACCATAATCTTTTTCATCTAACAGACTCATTTTATTCAGCTCTACAAGTTGTTCTGGGCTAGGTTCATCTGGTAAAGGTTGAATTGAGGCTTGTTCATATATTGGTTTTCCATTAAAAAAAAGTTCTTTCCAATCCAGCACCAGTTTTAGTGGAACACGGCTGCATAAAAATGAAAAATGAAAGAAGGAAAAATCAAAAAAAAGAGTTTTAAACCAAAAGTTAGAGGGTTGGATATTTGACAATAGCGTATCCAAATTTACAAGAACTCCAATCATGAAACAAGCATATGCTATACTAGTTACAGTTTGTAATGCATCTTGTAATTATTACAGCTTTTTATAAGTGTTTGTTTGCTTTTATGACAGCTTGTAGGCTGCAGTGTTTTCACAAATGTGTCATCACACAATATTTGGCTAGCAGAGCTGTGCAGTAGCAGTTTTGCTATCATTACTTTTCCCTGCCCCAAAATATTCTTTCCTTTTGTGGTGTAAAGCCTCCTCTTGCCAAAAATATCTATGCAATTATTTTTTCCTCAAAGTCAAAATTAATTCAGAATTATATGAATTAAACTTTTTCTTTAGTTAGTAATTTCACTAAACTATGTGCCCAGTCTGACTATTTCATTATATACTGAATAAGTCTAAATTTATATAATTTCCATGAAATACAATAATGTGTAGTTCATATGGTTACACTTTTATTATTTTAACATATAATTACACTAAAAAGCAGTAAGATTTTGGCATACCTTCTAGTGCTGTAAGTCTAAACCCACAATCAAATGACTGAATATTAATGAAAGAACCACAGCAACAACGCCCCACTCCATGATATTTGAAACACTTCTGTGGCACAGGCACTTGGAGATTACTGCCTTTGCAGGACCTTCTCAGAAACCCTGTGCAATTAGGGCATGGCACAAGAGGGAATCACAGCATGGAGGACTCAGAAGAATCTGAGCTCAGTTGATGTACTTTGGACGCTCCAGGCAGTTTATGTAACTTGGGAAATTCATCCTATTTGTGTTATTCTGAGGAAGTGCTCACCTAGTGAAGCAAACTAGGATGAGATGAGTACCATTCAGTTTTAACTTTTAATTAAGGAATTTGTTAATAAGAAAGGAAATCAGCAGTTCCACAAACTGTGGCACTAGTGGATTTTGGTGTCCTAAGAATTCAAGTCAGTTGAGTTTTCAAGAAACTATGTTAAGGCTGTAGCATTAGTTCACTCTGTATTACACACCAGTCAATCCTCACACAAAAACAATGTTACCATTCTCACATACAAACTAATTGCAGCTGCCACATAAAATATCTGAGAAACTACATAATTTGCTATAATGCTTAAACCAGTCTGATTAATGCAGCCTAACAGCTACCTAAGAGCTGTTATTTTTGCCTGGAAGCTACATACTCACTTGTTTGTCAGCTGACGATATTCTCCTACTTTTGTTGATATATCAATGATTTGGCATATAATTTCCCAACATATAGAATAATGCTTTTTATAGCGTGCCTGAGCTCTTTCAGCAGCAATTTTCTCATGGTATGCTCTTTCTCTGGCTATTTGTTCTTCGTTATCAATAGTTTCTTGTTTTGCAAGAGCCTAGAATTGTTTTTAAGGAAAAAATTTGAGACTGCAGTGAAAATGAAAGTGCAGAGATACACAGTCTCAAAAATGAAAATTAACTTAAGAAACAAAACCAGATAGATTCTCACCAGTTGCATAGCCAGCAGGCAGACTAACACATAAACAAATCTAAGCATTTTTATTCACTCTATAAATTCCCATTTGTTTGCTTTCCAAAATAGAATAAAAAAAGGAGAAACCCATTACTTCTTTTATGACAAACAGATTAAGACATATTCAGTCCTTGAGGGCAGTGAAATTGCAGCTTTCAGTGTAACAACCTGTTTAGAATAAGTAATTTATCTTACTAGATTCTGATCTTCAAATAATGTCATATTATTGGTGTTGTTCAATCTTCGAAATATTTCTGGTCATGGTAGAAAATCATCAGTAGTTCCTGTAGTGGTGTGCTCCACCACCACTTCCTGTGGTGGTAGCTGAAAGCATACTTAAAGAGGTGATGTAATCAATAGCTATAGCTGCTGATTACACAGGATTCCAGCCGTGCTGGAGGATTTGGAGTTGCTGATCATTTTTTACAGGAGAAAAAACTTCTAATATTATATTCTGGCCTACTATGAGCAAAGCACTTGGCAGTTTTCCAGAGAATTTTAAGTCCTTTTAATCAACTTAAAGCTTCAAAGCAGAAATTAGCACTCATGAGTGAAACTACTCCAGCATTTTTCAAAAACAGACTTTAACAAATCATATCTAAATGAAATTAAGAACATGATTCCTGAAACAGGACCTTAGGTTATTGTCCTGTTGCCTCTGTGAGACTGTGCCTTTTAAAACTCAGCACACAGACATGTCTTCCCACAAGGTTAAAATCAGTATGGAAGAAAAATCAGACTTTCAGTTACTCAGTTTTATCACCTGTTACAGGATCAGGGAACAATAGAATGGTTTAGGTTGGAAGTGACCTATAGAGGCCATCTAGTTCAAACCTGCTGCTGTGGGCAGGCCTACGTTTCACTGGATCAGGTGATTAGCTGTTCTTTCCCTGCAAAATTCTCCCAAACTTTTAACACAGTACAAAATGCACTCAGTTCCACAGTTACAGCTACATCCTTATTGCCTATAGCTGTGACTTTGAACAAAGACAAAATAATATATTTATCACTAAATCATCATGTCCCTAGAAAAGTCCTGAAGTCTAACAGTTGACAACACAAATTTCATTCTGTAACAGGAAGGTACTCTAGCACTCCTGCAGCAAATCAGAGATCAATCTTTTACCGCTTCTCTATCAAGAGCTTCCTGGAACTCCTTCTGTCGTCTTTCTTCATATTGCTTTTCCCTGAAAATTCTGTTTTGCCTTAGCACCTCTTTTTCATGCCGAACATGCATGAGTTGAGTAGCAATCCTTCGCTCATGCTGAGATTGTTTCATTAGTCTGTAAATGAGCTGCTCCTCCCGGTAAGCCTTCTAAAAGATAAAAAAATAATAGTACCAAACACAGTTATATAATTATTTCCTGGAAAACTGATCAGTGTCTAATATGAGAAATAGGAATGCCATCATATGACAGCATTCACCTGCTTACATGGGAGATAAATTCAGAACAACATTCATATCTCTTTATTAGTACAATTTGCACAACCTATGTAAAAATTCAAAATATGTATTAACTGAGATATCCAGTAAAAATACATCTGGTCAGACTAACTCCATTTTAATGTGGTTATTTCCCATGTGCAAGGAAACTGCAGCATATTTCAAATAACAGCTTCTTATTTAAACATATGCCCTTTCCTCAAATCATTAATTTAACCCTGTTATTCACCAGTCCCCATTCTCAGCCATAATCTTCAGCATCCTTGAGCAATCTATTTTCTACAGATTTGAATTTTTTTCTTCTTTTGGGGGAATTGGCTAATTATATTCTCCATTCGTCCCTATTCAGCAGACATGGACTATGAGAAAGAATTCAAAACTGAACAAAATACAAGACTTCTGGGTAATAGTTCCAGTGTCCTCACTGGGACGTGAACATAATACACTATTATGGTATAAAGGAAAATCAGTCTGAACCACTGCTTGAGATGTGGTCTGTATACACAGACACTTTGAAGGCTGTGAGTTGTTATTTTTCAAAGTGTTCTTGAAACACAATAAAATCTTCTTACTGCTACACTTCTCCAGACTTTTCTTGGTATCTAAATTAATGCTTAATCTAACCTGAAGTTTTGCCTTACTATCACAGTCCAAAACTCCTTTTAAGTCCTGAACAAAAACATCAGCTTGCCTTATAAGCATCACTGCCAAATACCAATGCTACAGCGGAATTCTAGAGGAAATTTCTGATTTGCTGAACGTTTGCTTCTGATGCATCAAAACTGCTATGAAATGTATTCAAATTCAAGGACTTAAACTGGGATCTGATTTGAAGATCTTAAATTAATTCTCCTAAAAACAGAGGCACAAGTAAAGCCAGTTAGTAGTAATTTTAAAAAAACCAAACAACCAAAAAAACCCAAAAAACCAAACCAACTGAAATCCACCAAAATAAAGTATCACTTCTATTTTCTTTCAATCTGGTTTATTTTTTCATCAGCTGTCTGTGAGACAGAGGGCAAAATACCTTATGTAACTTTACCAATACATGAAAAATCCAACTTGATTGCATATGACATTATTTATTTTTAAAAAAATCTATGAAAAGGTCTAGATCTGTCCTGTACAATGGAGCCAGGGTACCTTTAATAGAATTCTAATGCAAAGCATGACTGTTGCAGTTGCAATAATAAGAGAATAACTTTCTAAATAATTTAGATATTTAATGTTGATGTTGGGGAGAAGCTGAACAAACAAACAAACAAGCAAATCTCTTTCCATATTTTTAAAGTTCCTTTCCCTTCACAATTGCTGGGAATTAAGTATGTTCTAATTAAATTCTGGTGACTTGAAATATTAAGCTAATATATAAATATCTTAACATTTTCCTTATTTTAGCCAAAATATGGACTCTGACCTCTGCTTTCCTAGCACTGAGTCTCAAGACAGTCCCAGTGACAAATGTGCACTCATCTCAGGCCTTAATCATAGATCACCTGGATGCTATATTATCTCTCTCTACAAAGCTTTTCACTAAATGAAGATCTAATTTTAAATGTGTCTCTTCTTTATCTGTAGCATACGATTTGTAAATTGTTTGTCTAAGGAGGGAATTACCATCATACATCTAACTGAAATGGAAAACAATGCAGACAGAACAACTTCACTCCATGTGAATTAATATAGATCAGGTGATACAATTTTCCAATAGTGCTGCCTATTGAAGAGTTAATCTATCATTCTTCTCTTACCTTCATGAGCTCAAGGCATTAACAGGAGGTACAGTGCCCTTTTCTGCCTCGATTCTATCCATTGTTTCATGATACTTAGTAATTCAATTAAGATTTCAAAGAAGAGCAGAGGTTACATAATTTACTTCCTATTGCAAGTAAATATCCTTTATTTTTTTTCATTAGTTGCTGCTTGCCCTCAACCACAGACTATTACAGCAGTAATAAACCTTCACCAGTGGAAAAATGATGTTAAAATCCTTATTTGCAGGGAATTGAAGGAGCCACCCTAACAGAGTGGTCATTCATCATACTCAAACCATCAACTGAATGGTGCAAACAGTTGGTCCAGTGAGAAATTAAAACACTTTCTCTAGGTGAATTTCTTCTTCATAAAGGAAATTGGAAGATTCTCCTTTAGAACACTTCACAGCAGCCAAAACAGATTTTCAGTAGAGAACTTCAATATTTGAAGGGGTCAAATACTTTGGCATACTCACTAGGCCTAAAGAGAGGCAGTAGGAAATTCTTGAGGAACAAGAAAAACAGAAAAGGCAATTAACTCAAAACTACATAACAGATAAATAAAGATTCAGAACACCAAACTCCAAACTCATAGTTTCAAAAAGGATCCTCATTGGATGGAGGAGTGCAGTATTAGTTGCTATCTTTCACACAAAAAGGAATGCAGAAAGTACTCAAGCCAAAGGCTGGCAAGTTTTGAAACTTCTGAACGTACAAGGATGCAAAATAAAAATTGTAGAAAAAGTTTTTGACCTAACATTTTGTATCAACATCTTCACAGAGAACTGTGAAGTGCTTGAAGAAATCATAAATACCACAAACAGGACAACTTAATAACACTTTGAAAAATTACTATTAAGAAAGTATAATAGATACTTTTTCAGTTTACCTACTTAAGACAACAGTGGCATCCAGTGGCCAAACATTAACGTGTTTATGTTTCGTGTGGTTCATACATAGTTACTATACCATGTCCTTCTATTTTTCTATTTCTGTGTTTGATTTACTACAAGTGAGACATTTTAGTGCTGTTGTGCAGTCATAAATGACCATTTTATGACCAAAACGTTGAGCTTAGCACACACAAATCTATTTGATTGACAAGTAATAAGCTAGTAACAATTTCTTTCTCTTCCCATTTTCACGTTCTCAATTTACTGCTGATAGTAAATTATGTCTGATAACTTTTAAAATCAGAGACATATCTGAACATCAGAGCATTAAAAATAACAAGTGCAAATCACCAATAATTTGTTGAAATGGTTGAGATAAAGGTTCAGTTGGGATGAAGACAACTGTCAAACACTTTCAACACCTGCCTATGAAAATCTGACTGGCATCATGCTGTGCTCCACCTAGAGTACTGTCGTGTAATTGTAAAGCATTTTCTCTCCAAAACTCCACCTTGCAGTGTACAAAAAAAAAAAAATTGAACAAGATTATTTTAATAAACTTTTATAAATATGGATATGAAACACATTACAGCACTCTGAAAGGAAGAAATTCCTTCCACTCTAAATGATCTCATGCCATGTTCAAAATTTACACAGTGGAGGTAAAACTCAGACCTGAGTGCATATAAGCTGCAATTTCAGTCAATAAACCTGTTTGGGTTCAATATTTAACAGATGGGAAAAGCAATCTTGAACTATTTTGTATATCCATTCATTTAAAAAAAAAAACACCTCTGTTTGCTCCCCACTTCTCTTAAGTAACATCTAATGTCTGAAATCTCATGAAGTTCCAACAAAACAGTTTTTCCTCTGTTAATTTAGAACCAAATTACCACTAAATATATTCTCTGATATGGTCAAATTACTGTTTCAGTCAAATGCTAACTTGTCTTTCCTTCTAGTCCCTGCAGTCTGTGATTTCAATTGCTCATATAGTGAAGCTGATTTTTCTTCTTGGAAAGCTAGTAACACTACTGCTAGTTTTCACTTTATTTGGAGCCTCTCTAGAGCCAGTCTGAGCTACTATGTCCACCAAGTGCTCTGGAGACCGGTAGCCATGGCTTCCAGAACCAATGGTCCACACTGCTGGGGCTGCAAGAGCTGAGAGTGCTTAAAGAGCAAGTTTTGGCACTGCAGTGATTTCAGGCAAGTGGGTTGCAAAACTTCCTTATGGCCTATGTGTATCAACAAGGACATGATATAAATCTCTTTGAATAGGAACTCGGAGACAGGATATATGCAGAGATGGACTTAGAAGTCACTACTGGTGTTTTTCAAGAATATAGGTCTGAGATAGACATTGAGCAGCATCTAACTTCTAGATGTTTACCCCAACCAACTTTTTTTAACATTTCCAAAAAATCTCCAGACATTGGGTGTCAAGGCTTAAAAATATATATATATGTGCATTAGCACATATTTTCAGAGATACTATACATCTGAAATGCTACTATTATGAGATATTATTATTACTAGTATTATTAGTATTAGCAGTACAGATAGGCTCAGCTATATCTGTTCAACACATATAAGGACTCACAGGGAAATACTAAAATAATGAGAAATCAAAAAAACCCAGTAAGATACAAGACTGTGTTTTGATAGAATCATTAATGAGATAAATGAGATAATAAATAAATGAGATAATCTGTGAAATTACTAATCTAAAAGCTGCTTTGTAAAGGAGGAATGTATGAAGAAGAACCTTAAAAGCCTTGTGCTTTATAGTACAGGATTCAAATGTAATGGTCTGCAACATTCATTTTCAGACACAACACAGACATTCTCCAGAGACATATTTTGTATTTCATAACACATCAAATGCCAAATCTCTGACCTGCAGATAAAATTTTGATTCTTTGTATCACCCAGTACAGCCATTTCAGAATTCATCAGTCCAGATCAAAACCTTCATATGACACATTTATAAATACAGGTTTTCAAACAAGGAACGCCATGTTTTGTTGTTTTTAAATAAGAATCTTCTTTAGAACCAGTATACATTTTGATAGCATAAGCTGTTCAAATTCTGGGGAAAGCACACAGGGAATAGAAGGCAGGTCTGTAATGGATTTTTAATAATCTTTGTTCAGTTGCCTTAATTTTTTTCTTTTAAGTTATAAGTATGATTTATGTTATAAGGGTGGTGATAAAGAACAGCCAACCTTCAGAGATGTTCAGACATGAGTGTGTATAAATCCCTCTATCCCTTTCAAATTTTATTCAGCCTTCCAGAAGTACTCATTTCATATTTGTAAGCACATTTTAGATTACTAATTAAATGCACATGGACTATGTACTTCAGCATACAATTTCCCACCTCTTGAGCCTCATGTTCTGCTAACTGATCCACTAGCATTTTTCTTCGTCTCTTTGCTCGTTGCTCTCTAGTGAATGTATCTTCCTGTACACGTGTTTGAATTTTCTTTATATATTCATCATCTGAATAAATATTTAGCAGCTCAGTTCTCATCTCTGGTATAGTTTCTAGACTTGTTTCTTGAAACTTCTGTGTTTGCAATAGTTCTTGCATATCACTGATTGAAAAAAAGAAAGATTGGAATTACCATTCTTAAGGGTCTTTTCACACAAATGCCTGTATGGTTATGTTCAAGTCTATCCAATGTAGAACTTCAATCTGTGGGGTCTGTGGCTACTTCTTGACAATGTCCACTAGGTCCAGAGGAAGTTTTCAGCACTGACATGGGCCAACTAATCATTAGTTTCTTTGTCAATACAAAGCCAAATTCCACAGAAAAAGGAAATTAGGATGGCTCATAGAATGCCAAAGAAAGTTCGGTTACTTCTCAATATAGCCATGCTATATTGAGAAGTAACTCAATATATAAACTCTCAGTAGTTTTGCAGCTATTAATCACAGGTTTACACACAGAAATATCCACAGCAGTATGCATGAGTGTCACATCGTCTCAGTAGGGCATACATATCACCAAGGGCAACAGAATGAAAATTACTTGCAATTATTCACAAATAAATCAAAATACAGATAAGTTTCAGGATAAAAGTTACTTCTTTTCTTTTCGAAATGTGTTAGTATGTATGCACATTCACAACCATTCCTATCTTGCAGCAAGGCTAACTGACCTTACAGATCCAATGACTAAAATGAACAGAGAAAAGATGCATTTTGAGCCTTTCCTTGCTGCACACATGGCAAAAAGTAGTGAAGGAAGCTTGAGCTGTCCCCAGCACAACTAAAAGTAACTTAAAAACACTGCAACTGTGTTGGACCTGAAATCAGTGCTAGTGTGGCATTCATCAAAAGAATAATCACAGTTTAAACTAAATGAAACATTATTCTTTCTCTATGTAGCTGTCTACATAGCAGCCACCTGGGGTAGGATCCTGCTTATTCTTAACAATTTAACATCCAAATGTTACCTGTGGCTGTGTACTTCAGAGGCATTTCCTGTCATAGATTTCTCAAACTTTTCTATCTCCTTGTATACGTTCTGAAGAAGTAACACAGAATTTTAGGTTTTCTTTCTCTTCACAAAGCAACACAAAGAAGGTTCAATAGAGCAAGTACTAGGGAATTACTTTTATGTCATGTTAGTACAACATAAATGCTTACACTGAAAATATTTTAAGCATCAGCTACACCAAGAATAAAGGCAAGATGATTTCAATCTTTCTTCTTTCACTTCCTTCCCCTCTTCCCCTTTTCTAGCTACAAGTACCTCCACCAGCCAGAAAATCCTAGAATTTTGCAGCCATTCTTTCTGCAGAATAATTCTGATTTTGCATAGGGCTCTAGCAGAGGATGTAAATCTTACCATATGGGGATTTGAAACAAAATACTCTGGAATGTGATCAGCTTTTGATTTAGTAGCTTGAATGTATCCCTAATAGTTATTCAAGTAATTGTCTTACTATAGGTTACTAAACTCTAGATTTAAAGACACCTTTTTACCCAGTTGTAAAAAGCAGTAATAGTTGCACCTCTAATGACAATACGATCCATGAATGTGAATTACAATCCATTAATTTTTTGGTACTAGACAATGCAGAATTTTTTTAAATTGCTGCATCTCTCTTGGTTTGGTTTAAGGTTATTGTCAATTTCAGCTTTTAGTAGCATTTAATAAGCAGACAGTTTCATAGTGTGTTACAGAATATTTCAAACATTATGGTGCAAAATGTTATCATGCACAAATCAAAATGGAACATTAATGTTTTTGTTTAATGTATTCTTTCTAGTAGACTCATAGCTACTCTCAGCAATCAAATTACTACCTATCTATGGTATTTATTCAATATTAAATTTCTCTTACATCAATACAATTCTTATTTTAAAAAACTTACAAAGCCATAATTGTGTAAATATTCAGCCCAATTCTCACAGGTTGAATTTATGTAATTTTGACAGTCAGCAGCTTTTGGATGGTGCAAGTACAGTATTTGTAACCATAAATGTTCCCAGAAATTGTGGAGTTTGAGTTAATGTAATTAGCATCAAAACAATATAGATGATAATTACCTCTGCTTCCCTCTTCTTCTTTAAGAATCTTTTGGCTTCAAAAGATTTTATGGTGGATCTTGATGGTTGTTTTTGAATTTCTATAACTGCTGTTTGAATCCTGGCCATTATCTCATTTTGTCTCCTTCCTATGTAATGCTGATATGAAGCAAATATAATTAAGCCAAAATTATCTTCCGGGAAGAAACTAGAAGAGATTATCAGGCTCCAGACTTGAGCAGATGAGCAGTGCTTTATAGACTTTAAGGGCTTTCATTGAATTCTAGGTCTAGTAAGGTACCTGTTTCAGGTCTGAATATAGCATAGAAAATGAGAATACCAGTTTCCTGGAACCGAAACTGAGAATACCATTAGGTAACAGATTAGGTAACACTAGCACAGATGATCAAGAAGTAACAATCATATAAATTACACTCATTTAAAGTGCACCAGACATGCAGGCAGGTAAAGATGGAATAAAGAAGAAAAAATAGTTTTTATACAAAGAAGTCAAAGATAGTTAAAAAATGTAATACATCAAATGGTATTCCAAAATTTTCTTTTAAAATGTTAACATTTTGAAATTTTTTTTGCTTGCATTTTCTTGTCTAGATACATGAAGGAGCAGTTTTTTGCCATTCTTGTTCATGTAGTGGCAATAGAACAGCTAAATAACCACAGCAAGATTCTCTCCCTTCATTAGCCACATAAAATAGATATCAAATTAATCAACAACTTTGTCAGTGTGGTTCAATACCCTGATACCTGGCCATTTCCTCTAAACTCCGCTTTGCATGAGTGCTCCCATGTCTAAAGTAATGTCTTCTTCCTTTTTCACATCATCAGAATAGCTACACAAAAGTACAAGATGTTCTGAGGCCAAACCCCCTAGAGATGCCCTTCTCCTGTCATTTTCCTGCTTTTGTACAATGCTCCATCTTTTCTTCACAAAAGAAGAATTACACAAAACTCTTCTGCAAGGACATCTCAAATGCATACAAGTTGTTATATGTGCACTTTGTCTGCAAATCTATAAATATTTTCCATGCTTGACATACTCTCAACTTAAGATGACCTGATTTTTAAATAGGAACAGTTTTAAGGTCTCGTAAGAGTACATTGGCTTTATTTCCATGCACACCTCTTTTCTTTGTTCTTCTATAAACAAGAGCACAGAATCAGGAAGCCTTCACACTGGTTTTAATTAAGTCATTAAGCACATAGCCTTCAGAAAATACTTCTTCAGAAGTCTACAAAAATAAGTAGTCACTTTTTCAGAATCTTGGACTTTTTGCTCTTCTTGGAGGTTCCGAGCCCTCAGCTGCTCTGCAACGTCCACAGAGCTCTCTTATCTGTTAGCATCTTGGATTTTGTTTCATTCTGATGTAGCACTACAGTTTTCAAATGTTAAACATCCAGCAGTGAAGAGTCAGAAACAGCAGTAAACATACTAAGATAAGGCAATTTTGAGACCATTGCTTCAAACTGTGTTTTTCTGTGCTAATGTATACAGAAAAACATACCAACATTTTCAAACTGAAAATCAGGACCAACTTGGTAGAAAAGAACTCAGAGATTTGAACTTGAATGATGCCAAATGTTTTTAGTTGACAGAAAAGGACACCTCATTGCTCTGTACAGCTTCTTCTGGAGGGGAAGCACAGAGACAGATGCTGTACTCTTGTCCCTGGTATCCAGTGAGAGGATGTGGAATAGAATCATAGAATGGTTTGGATTGGAAGGGACTTTAAAGATCACCTCCTGCTCTGGGCAAGGACAGCTTCAATGAGACCAGGTTATTTAAAGTCCCATCCAGCCTGGCCTTTAACACTTCCAGGGATGGGTCATCCACAACTTTTCTGGCCAGCCTGTGCCAGTGCCTCACCACCCCCCAGTAAAGATTTTCTCCTAATATCTAGTCTACTAGATACTACTATACTACTACTACTACCTCCTACTTTCTTCCAGTATGAAGGCAATCCCCCATTTCCTGTTGCTCCATGAAAAGTCTTTCTGCATCATTCTTGTAGGCTCCCTGCAGTTATGTCAGGTAATGGAAGGCTGCAATTAGGTAGCCCTGAAGCCTTCTTTTTTCCAGGCTGAAAATCTTGATTGTCTCAGCTTTTCTTCATAACAGAGGTGCTCTATCACTCTAATAATCTTGATAAAGATGTTGTGGACTGAGGAGTGAAGAATAAAAAAAAAAAAAAAAAAAAAAAATTGAGTATCTCTGCCTTCTTATCCTCTATTATTACCCATTTTCCAGCATTGTTTATTGGCCTTCCTTTCTGCTTGACATACCTGTAGAAGCTCTTCTTGTTATTTTTTGTGTCCCTTCCCAAGTTCAGTTCCAGCTTTGCCTTGGTCTTCATCACTCCATCCCTGCAATGATACTTAATCTCTATACTCTTACTCAGCCCACTGCCCCAAATTCAGCTGCCTGTGTGTTTGTTTTCCCAGAAGCTCCCTAACTGAGCCATGCCAGTCTCTTGTCTTCCTTGCCTGATTTCTTGTTCCTGGGGATTGCTAGCTCTTGCTCACTATGGAAGAATTCCTTAAAGATCTGCCACCTCTGTTCTCCTCCCTTGTCTCAGAGGGCAGCCTCTCAGGTGATCTATCTCCCTAAAGAGCTGGAAGTCTGCTTCCCTGAAGTTCAGGGATCTACCTTTACCCCCTATCTCATACCTCAGGACTAAAACACCATCAACCCAAACACCATCACTGTAGCCCAGGCTGCCTCCAGTCTTGATGTCCCCAGCTATATGTTTTGTACTGGTGACCATCAGATCCAATATCACATCCCCTCTGGTAGGGCTGTCTATTACCTGACTCAAGAAGTTATCCTCCATTCCAGGAGTTTCCTAGACTGCCTACAGCTCCCTGTGCTACTTTCCCAGCAGATGTTGGGGAGGTTGAAGACCTTCAGCAGGACAAGAGCCTGTGAGCACTATGCTACATGTAGCTGGAGCAGGACTTTGTCCAACAGGCCTGCCTTAGTCAGGAAGACTGTAGTAGACACCAGCCACAGGGTTCAGTTTTTTTCTTTGGTCTCTGATTCACAGGCTTTCAGCCCGCTCCTGTCTATCCCTCAGAGACAACTATTCATATCCAATCCACCTCTTGATACAGAGAGCAAACCCTCAGCCTCTTTCCCTCCACTCCTTTCTGAACAGCCCGCAGCCATCCATAGTTGCACCTCACTCCCAGGATTTGTCCCATGCTGCACCAGGGGAGGTAAGGAAGCATTTCTTTACTGAAACAGCTTTGTAGATATTCAAAACCACACTGAATAAGGTGCTGAGGAATCTGCTATTTCTGTCTTTGCTTGGAGCAAGGGGGATAAATTGAGTTCCAGAGGCTCTTTCCAACCTCTATTCCTCTCTCTATTTCTCAGCCTTCCTATACCATGATTCAAATGTCATTCTGAACTTGTCTAAAGACAGGACCTACTCTCAGTTGTTCAGTTCCTTAAAGCTATCCTTCTACAGGTGAAGTGATATGTTGACTTTTCAGTACTATCTTTGCACTTGTTGGTAAACATCTGCTTGAAGGCTATTTTTCAGAAATAGTGGCAGGAAAAAAAAGGAAAAAAAAAGTGAAATTTCTCCCAGCTGAATTTAATTCATGATATATAGCTTCTTAAAAACTCCTCATCCTGATAACAAATAATGGTCTGGATATACTGAACATTACTACTGAAAACAAGAAGGAAATCTTTAACAGAACCTACCACATCAACACTGACTTCCTCTTAGATGTTTTCTTCTCCCCTTTATTTTTCTCTTTTTGTATTTCTCAGCATATGGTTGCTGCACAATGGAGTGCAGTACAAATATATGGAGAGACATGCAACAGAATGAATCAAACCACTGTGGCACAGAGCTGAACATAGTTATAAATAGGTTTCCTGGAGGTGAAATTAGTCTGAGTTGATACCTAGACTGCAATGCAGTCTGCAATCTGTACTCAGCAAATGAGTAAAAAGGCAGCTGCTGAACAACAACTAGCTTTTGTTGCTATAATATTTTAAGTCTGGAGAAAGCTTCTAAACAGAGCAGGTAACACAGAATGAACCAAAACAAAGAAACAGAACAGAGAAGATCAATACCGTATTGAGTTCCTGGTAAGCTGTGCAAACCCACTGTATAAGACATAGCAAAGAACTGTTTCTTTTTCTTATAAGTACTTGGTTTTGAATAGGAGATTTACAAAGTAAAGAGGGAAAGCACATAACATGCTAGAAAGATACATGTAAATATGCTATCTTTTTTGTATTTATACAAAACCGACACAGTTAGTTACCTCTTGATTTCCACTTTCAGCAGACGTAAGCTTTGCAGTTGCTGCAGGTCTCATTGCTCCCACAGCTACCCCAGTGAGCTTTGCCTTCCTCTTTTTTTCTAAAGCAATATACAATTCATATAAAAGCTTTGTTGCAGCCCCATGCTGTCTTGTCATGATGTCTTGGGCCATATTCTCATTAAACTGCACACCAAGGAGGTGAAGTGTGGGTTCCAGGCGAGAAAAATTGTTAATTTTTGCATCTGCACCTCTGTATGATTAAAAACAACAACAAAAAATTGCAGAACTTCGACTTATTTTCAATTCCAACTTGCTGCATTAAGCATGGTCATGACACTTATACCAAGACAGGAGCAGAAAAAAAACAACCCACAGATGATTTTCTTTAAAAATGTGATAGACATATTGGTTTAAGTTTTATACTGCTGTACAGGTAACTGCATTGATTATTATGCATAACTTTTTGAAAAGACAGAGACCACATTGGATTATATAAATTCTGATATGCATGCACACAAAGAGAGTCTAGTAGCAAAAGCTAATCTGTAATGGCAGCTAATGGTATACCATCCACAAAACACACAAGGGAGTTTGAATAGAGTTTCTATATTAGGTGTATCAATCAAACTCTCAGTTAAAACGTAAGAAATTACAAAAAGAAAAAGGGTCTGTATTGTCTACTAACCTTTACAACATATTTTTTCTCCAAGCGTTGAAAACAAAGTCTATGTTCTAAATGAGAAATTTACATTTGAAACTAAGATAGTAGCTTGCAGGTTAATATTTCTTTTGATTTATAGGTTCTTATGAAAAAGTACTCAAGATCCACACAGACATACAGGGCAAAATCAAGTAACAATAAATTGTCAGTCTATAACTATCAGCATACCAAATTTTATCAGACATAGCCATAATTTCAGTCTGAGTTGGAAGATCATGCTTTCCATACTGCTCTACTGCTTGAGTTCACAATAGTTCCTTCACATGGAGCAACCAGCTTTTCAGGTCAGCCAAGATCCAGCATAATTCTACAGAAATGCCTAATTTTAACTGAAGACCTTCTGCTACCACAGTATTCATCTTATTTCTAGATTAAACTGTCCAGGAGCTCATTATTCTCACTGTAACAGTCCATGCTTTGTTTCTTACACACTGACACTGAACTGAAGCTTAAAAGCATTGAGCATTTTTCTGCCATTGATTCAAGGTTAAGATGAGCCCTCTTGCCAGTAATCATCTGACATGCACTGAGAAGCTCTTAAATTTTTGTTCTGTGAGGCTGACTGGCTTGTGCATCTCTACTTCTCCCTCTTTGCACTCCTTGAAGAGAAGAGCAGAGGTTGTAGTCTCCTGGTCCTAGGGACTCCCCCCATCACCACAAACTTTCAAAGATTATTGAGAGTGGCCCAGCAATGACATCAGCCAGGTCACAGCCTGGGTGAGTAAGTGCCATCAGGTCACATGGACTTGCACATTTCCAATTTATTTAAATGTTCCTTAAACTGTTCCTTCTCCATGAGTAAATCTTTCTTCCTACAGACTTTCCTGTATGTCTCAGATACCTTAGTCTTTTGCATGTCCCAGCAGGCCCACATTTTTCCCAGTTTTCCTTTTGCTGTGGACATACCTGTAACCCTTCTGCCTAGACATAAGACAATACCTTTTTTTTCCATGAGGGGCAATCATGTATAAAATACACACACATTTCATATTGAAATAAATTGCCTGGAGCGGTAGTGTAGTCTCCATCCTTGGAGGTTTTCCAGATCACACTGGGAAAACAACTGGTGCAGACCTACCCCTTAGTTTGAAGGACTTGGGATTTCTGAATGTGAGTTTTATTTAGCGGACTAAGATAAAAGAGGAATTAAGCATCTCAGCCTCAGCATGGCAGATACTCATTTGAGGATCTGAGAGGGATGCTGATGCATGGAGCCACACTCTGCCATCTTTTTGATGCAGGAAGACAACTAAGAATGGCCGCTACAGAGGCAGGTCCTGGATCTTCCTGCTCTCTCATACAGAGGGCAGCTCCTCTTTGTCCCCACCCTCCCAGCCTGTCCATCCTTAAGAGCCTATATCAAGCCATGGCAGCACACCAGTCCTGGGAGCTATCCCACTGTCCCTCTGTGATTGCAATGATTACCCAGCAACTGCTCATGGGCCTTGAATTTCTTCTGTTTGATCCCCATACTGCATGCATTACTGCACAGGCACTTCAGAGAAGCAGTCAGTTGCGTGATTTAAAAAAAAATTAGAGTAATTTAGAAAAGTTGTGAATGCTTCTCCCATAATCCTGTTTTCTTAGCACACCCTTAATTGCATGCATACATTACCATGCCTTAATTGCATGTAAACTTCTGCACTGTTCTGCTGCTCTTATTCACATCACCTTCCTCTTGCTTGCCAGCCTAGGCCATCACTTCCTCTCTTGTTTGAAAAGAAACCTCTCCATCAATACTCATTCCTAGTTTAAAGCTCTCCTCACCAAGTTTGCCAGGCTGTTGGCAATGATTTCCTTGTCCATCTTGGTCAGGTGGATCCCATCACTTCCTAGCAGTTGTCCCTCTCAAAAGATGATCCTATGGCTAGGAAAAGCAAATCCCTTTGATGGACAGCAGCTTCCATACAAAACGTAGATAAAAAAAAAAGCTAACTCTAATTTGCTCCTCTTCATACAATTTGCTCCTCTTCCCACCCACACTGAGTGGGAAGGGACCCATTGAACTGAGTCTAACTCTTGGCCCTTTACAGCAAACCCCAAGTGTCAAACACCACATGCCTGAGTATATTTTCCACACACTTCGTTAACTCTGTCAGGCTGGTGCTGTGAGCACCTCCCTTGGGAACCTGTTCCAGTGCCCAAACACCCTCTGGGGAGGAACCTTTTCCTGATATCCAACCTAAACCTCCCGTGGCACAACTTCAGGCCATTCCCTTGGATGCTGTCCATGGTCACCAAGGAGCAGAGATCAGTGCCTGCCCCTCCTCTTCCTCTCGTGAGGGAGCTGAGGCTGCAGTGAGGTCTCCCCTCAGTCTCCTCTTGCCCAGGCTGAACAAAGCAAGTGACCCTGGCCACTCCTTGTATGGCTTTCTGTCCAGACCCTTCACCATCCTCGCTGCCCTCCTTTGGACACTCTAATAGTTCAATGTTTTTCTTACACTGTGGCACCCAAAACTGCCCCCAGCACTGGAGCTGAGGCCACCCCAGTGCAGAGCAGAGCGGGACAATCCCCTCCCTTGCCCGGCTGTTGATGCTGTGCCTGATGCCCCAGGACAGGGCTGGCCCTCCTGGCTGCCAGGGCACTGCTGGCTCGTGTTCAGCTTGCTATCAGCCAGGAGCCCCAGGTCCTTTTCCATGGCACAGCTTTCCCAGCCTCTCCTTCCCCAGTCTACACATGCAACCAGGGTTGCCCCATCCCTGATGCAGAATGTGGCACCTTATTAAACTTCATACTGCTGGTGATTGCCCATCTCTCTAATTTTTCTGAGGGTTTTGTTCCTTTCTTACAGAAAAAAACACTTTTCCAATGCAAGCACAACAGCTGCCATTCAAAACAAAGCCCTACTTTCCAAACATATTAAACTATATTTTATTCTCTGGAGTTCTTATTAGCACTTTAAGTTTAAGCACCTTCTATCTCTTGAGAGCACCTGTCCCTTGAGTAGAATTAACTTCAGCTTGAAAATTTTCTGGCATTGGAATATATTTTCCAGGAAGGTGAAGGAGTCACCGTGCCTGGAGGTGTTCAGGAGGTGTCTGGATCTGGTGCTGGGTGAAGTGGTTTAGAGGTTCAGGGGTTACAGGGTCACCGCTGGCTGTGTGGTTGGACTGGGTGGTCCTCAAGGTCTTCTCCAGCTCTAAAGGATCTACGATCCTGCAGTCCCTGCCTCTCACACGAAGATTAGAGTACCGGCGGAGGCACGTGGTGGCGGGAAGGGGGCGGGCCCGTCAGGGGGGCGGCCGCGGGGGGACCTCGGCACGACGGCCCGACCCCGACCCTGCTGACCCCACTGCCCCCGCGGCCGAGCCCTGCCCCTGCCCGCGCAGCGGGGCGCCACTCACCGATGCGCCGGGAGAGCTTCACGTCCCGGTTGAGCCACTCGCACAGAATCTGGGACATGGCGTGAGGCGCCCGCGGCCGCCGCCGCCGCCCGGCTCCGCGTCCCGTT